TACTTATTTTTTTATTTTAATAATGTCATAGTCATAGTAGGGAAGGCTTGTAACTAAATTATTTATAGTTTGGTCATCAGTCATTTCGAACCTGCAGATTGTGTATTTTGAGGTTCAAGAGATTTTTTACTGGATAGCTTAAATTCTGAATTTGCTAATTTACTTAGTTTATGAAGTTCATCATTCCAGTCAGTTTTCAGTGTTCTTGATACACTATCATTAAAAACTTTTAGGTACTTCATTTTATGGTATCTTATGTAGTTTTAAGTGTCAATATCATAAACCGACGACATCATAAAGGTAGCAGGAATGCGCTGGACGCAGGCCGCTACCAACCGGGTAGCATGGAAAGCATTGGGCGAGGCCTATGTTCAGCAGTGGACGTCCTATGGCTGAAATGATGATGATGATGAAGTGTCAATAGGGGTGGTTTAGCAACAAAAAAGTATAGTCTGATTTGCTATCTACTTGAACTGTCTTTCAATCGTATTATTAACAATTTGTAAGGCATTTCTACGCCCGGGACTATCAGGACTCTACGGACGCTATAAATAGCCTGACCGGGGCTTAGCGGTGATCCCGGAGGAACAGCGGAGGAACTCGGTAATTAAATATGTGGGTGACTGTACTTTTGCTGCTTTTCAACGTATTTACGTAATGACGTCTTGTAAATATTTAGGTTTACCAACTTTTAGAATCCTTCTAAAAGTTGGTTTTATCGATTCATGATACAGTTTCATATATCATGTCATCATCATCATCTGTCGTCGCAAATGGACCTGAAGGCTACTGTTAGCCTGTTGGTCTATCATCACGTAATACTCGTAGTAGACCCTTAGCTTGCAACTATGAATTAAGGAAGAATATTATTGGCAAGAGAAATATTAACAAACAAATAATTTTTAAAGAAAAAAAAATATTGACAATGTCAAGGTGTAAAATGCAAGTTCATAAAGTTCTGATCTTCACATTTTATTCCAGTTTTTTCAACTGGACGAGTAGAGTTTGTAATTAGGCAATTTTCAGTAAGGTAGTACATAGTCAAATCACTTCACACAAATTAAATAACTTTAATCTTTTTTAGTAATTCAACCAAACATTAGTTCAATTTCTACTTCAAAAAACAGTTCGACCGCATTATAGTAGATACAAAAACTGCCAAACGCCAAATCTACCTAGTTTATGATAAACAATGGCGGTCGTTTATCAAAAAGCTCAGATCCAGCCGATTGCGCCAATTTGTATCATTTTAAACCCACTCGCACTTAAACGACGGACTGGCAACCCTTTATTTCGGATTAGGGTTGCCAACTAAAACATATGTAAAAGTTCTTCAAATGTATGTAAATTGTACTCTGTGTTTTTAACAATTGCTTTCTTTTTTTATATTTAATCAAAATTATGGTTCGTTCGTGACTCGTTCGTTAGCTAAACGACATCCACTGCTGGACAAAGGAAAGGATTTCTACATCAACCGGTCCTAGACTGTTCGCATCCAGGTGCTATTTGTGATCTCCAGCTGACGGTGGGAGTTCACCTAGTGGGAGGTCTACCCACCCACACTACGTCAACCCGCCCGTGGTCCCAAAATGGAACTAACTTCACCAGACCAAATCCTTTTCAAATTAAAGAGTGTCGTGCTTCTAAAGTGATGGAGACTAAATGGCCTGGTTGAAGACTATTCAAATTTTTTATAGGTCTTAGCGCATTACTCAGTCAGTTCCTGAGGTATGAGGTGGCACGGGAGGGGTGTATGTAGGGGGGGTTTCATGGCACTTATACACGTCACAAATTGCCCTACCACCACTTCAGGACAACTATAATCCTCTTTACTACACTAGAAAGGAGTATCTTTTCACAGCCCTGAAGGGTCGGTATTTTAGATAGGATAGTTAAAATTAATGATGGCGCACCCGGCCAAGTGCGAGCGGTGTAAATGATAAATGGTCGAGACAATCCTCGGTTGGATTAGAAAAGATTTGGTATTTAGGGACATCAGTAGAGTACGGTCGATGGCAAGGTTAATAATAACTATTGGGGCATCTTAGGTACTTGTATTAGGTGTTATTTTACCAAAAAAAAGTGTAGTATGACGTGCTGAATTTACTGGGGTTGATGAATCGTCAGCAGATGCTAAGGTTATCAAAAATAAGTAACTTAGGAGAAAATTCATTGCACTAAAATAAAATTAATATTGCATTACTTTTTTTAATAAATTGAGTCACGATGAGTCGTCATGATGACTGTAACCCATCTGTAACCAGTGTTCTGAGTCTTTTAATAAGACCGGTCCTTTACTTGTCACCAGTATTATTACTTCAGTTGTTACTTGTTACAGCTGTAAAGAAAAAGAAGCAGAGGACGAACAAAACTGTAAACTGATCAAGCAATTTGCTACTTGACAACTTTACTACTTGTCTAGGGTTAATAAAAGTAAAAGTTAGTCTTTGTATTTGAATATACTAGCGGTTTTTGTAGCAGAATAAAGTTTAGAAGTGTCTAATCTTCCCAGAGCGATGGCGATCAGTAGGAATCAGTAGTATCGCCATCGCCATCGCGGGCTGCTCGCGTTGATTTGGTCGAACCTTAAAAGAAGCGGTCTTTGTAGCAGAATAAAGGTTAAAAGTGTCTGATCTTCCCAGAGTGATGGCGATCAGTAGAAATCAGTAGTATTACCATCGTAATCGCGCACGCGGGCTTCACGCGTTGGTTTGGTCGAACCTTAAAAGACGCGGACTTTTTAACTGAATAAACTAGCTGTCTTTGTAGTAGAATAAAGGTTAGAAGTGTCTGATCTTCCCAGAGCGATGGCGATCAGTAGAAATCAGTAGTTTCGCCATCGCTATCGCGCACCAGGCTGCACGCGTTGGTTTGGTCGAACCTTAAAAGAAGCGGTCTTTGTATTTGAATAAACTAGCGGTCTTTGTAGCCGAATAAAGTTTAGAACTGTCTGATCGACTAGGGAAATTACTATGCATATTGTATGACGGGCTCTTTTCCGATTGCGACAGATGTCGCTGGTGATGCCCGAAGGTAAAATAAAGGGTTTCGGCTGATAAATATTTCATTTGAGTCTGTAATTTGCCTTGGGATGTTTAAGTGCCCATTTTCTACGAATGTAGAGTTCCTTCCTAGAGATACTTTCAGTGAGGAAACTGGAGAGAGCAGAAATGGGATAGTAAGTTTTTAATGCTCGCTTTTGGAATACAAGAAATTTTACGACTATCTTTGACGTATAAAAGCATGAAAAGTTTTATCAAAGTCTATCCAGTAAGTTTTGTGTGAAAGAGTAAAATAAATACATGCGACCATCCACACAAAGTTTACACCACTATCATCTTCAATAATATAAAAATGAATCGCAAAATGTGTTGGTAAACGCACGCAACGCCTGGACTAATTTTACTATTTCTTTTTTTTAATGTTTGTTGAAGTCCAAGGATGGTTTTAACGGCGAGAAAAGTTCGAATAATCTCCAGGAAAACCTTAAAAAAATAATCCAAACTTCACCCATAAAGGGGTTAAACTGGGTCCACGCGTAAGAAGTCGCGGGCGGCCGCTAGTATTTTCATAATAACCTTACTTTTCCAAAGACGTAGACCATTCGACTTTACCTGTAAGAAAAGAAAAAATATAGAATTAGAGCTTATTTAACAATAACTTAGTTTTTACATAATTAAAACTGTCTACACAATGTAATACAAAGTAGAAGAGTAAATTAAAATTGAAAATTCATAATTTCTCTTTTATCACCGAAAATCTAATTACTTTTTGATTGGAGAAACTTGTTACAAATGCAAATTTCTGTTTACTCTTAATTTAAAACTAAGAAAGTTTTTTAGTGTGTTGTACTAAGTAGTTGTAGGTAGATGTTAAGTAAAACTCGGATGCCGTAATAAGACTGAGATATTTATTTCCAAAACCAGGGTTCTTATATTATCAAAAATGTATACAGGGTGGTTATACATATGGAACGATAAGTGATCTCACTCGATTATTTCTAAACTATACAAGATATCGAAAAACTAGTTACTGATTCTGAAAGTGCTTCACGAGCTCTTTCAAATGGTACCAATAATAGGTTACAGATTATAGAAGCTGGTAACATTGAATTTTTGGATTTTGTAACTTCTCGTTTCCACCCTGTATAATCCAGGCTGTATATCCAGGTCACCTAGATACATTCCATAGCAGCTGTAATAGACATTTAGGTACATACATTTACCAATTTTGGTGATAAATAGGCATTTTGTATTAGTTTTTGTATAACGCCTGAACAAAAACAATGGGTAATATTTTGGTGTTATACATAGATTTTAAATATAAAAAATATATAATTTAACTAATTAAGACATGACAAAAAAACTGAGGTATGTCTCGTTTCTGTCGGGCCTGGGTCACAGATGACCGTTCTTCTTTATTGAATAAAAACTTAGCCTAGATACAAAAAAAAAACTTTAATGGGACTATGAAATTATTTGGTTAGTAACAATATTTTATGTTAATTAAGGTAGTATACCTAAACTAAGCAAAAATGTTTGCCTGTGTTTTAGGTATCCATACTTATTATGTAAGTTAGTGCTTCGTTTCAGCCAAATGACGTCCACTGCTGGACAAAGGCCTCCCCCAAGGTTTTCCACAATGAACGGTCCTGCGCTGCGCTAGTTAGTGCTTATTAAACAGATATTATAAATAATTACACCAAAGCAATGTCAATGCGCCCTTATCACTAATCAACTCGGGTCGATTGACCGCCTGAACCTCATCATCATCATAACAGCTTTAGTGTGTTGTACTAAGTAGTTGTAGGTAGATGTTAAGTAAAACTCGGATGCCGTAATAAGACTGAGATATTTATTTCCAAAACCAGGGTTCTTATATTATCAAAAATGTATNTATAAGTCAAAAGAAGCTATAACAATAAATTATATGACTAAAATCATTTCGAAATCTGCCAAATTCTCGATTTCTGCATGAAAAATGTGACAACGCTCTTAATACTTCAGAGCCTTTGACGTTTTGACATCAAAATGACATGTCAAATGTCAAGTATTCGATTGTCAAAATTTTCAAATTCCTCAAAAGAGGTTGCAATTTCGATAAACAGTTTATGGCATTATTTATTACCAATTCAAACCTCGATATTGTCGTCCGGAGTGATAGGAGTCTTGAGCTTCTTCGGGTTGAGTATGGACGGCTTCTGAGTTCGAGTGTGCCAGACGTATACCTTGGTGCAGTTGTCAGCTAATGGTTCCAGTTCGCTGTTGGTCGTGAAATACTTTAGTATTTCGCTCTCCTGAAAATAATTTCAAATTGATTAATTACTTTAGTTGTTTTTATTTGAAAAATTGTACCTTTTACAGTCACAAAACAAACGCCTGCATTGTTTATTCCTACAATATGGGGTCTTATAATTTATAGTTGTAATAGATAATAATAGAAGATGACGATTAGGCGACTGCATAAACATATTTTTTTAAATACATATGTGCAAAAACATGTTTTATTGGGCGTAAGTATTCTTAAATCATTAATTTGTAGTAGTCTTCATTCATTGCGCCAAATCAATCGTCTATTTACTAATTATTAGAATAGTGAGTGTATTTTTATCAGTAGTTAACTATGAACATAAAAATACATACAACATAGTTTTAGTGATTTGAATGCTGATTGGGAATGGAACGATAAATAATAAAAAAACATTGTTTATTTAGGCAGTGAGTTTAGAATGTCAGTCAAGGACAGGACGAGATAAGCAATATCGTAGTTAAAATAATTTGGAAGTTAAATACGATCAATATTAGTTCATTATTATTGCAACAATGAGTTTAACGAAGAATGTGCACCTCGCAAAACGAGCATAAAAATAGTGCGCATTTTTCAAAGTGCACAATCTACGTCAAACCCGCAATAAAACAAACAATTCGAAAGTCAGCATATTAATGTTGATAGTCATCAGTGGACTAACAGTACGATTAAAATACAAATTATTATTATCGTGGGCATGTTATGAATATAATAACGTTTGTATTAATGCACGTTATGATAAACTGAATCCATTTTTTACGGTCGCGGTATGTACCTACGGACGACAGCATGTCTAAATACAGTGGCACAAGCCCTACGTTCTACCAAAAAGTTGCATCCAATTGATTCAATCAAATGACGTCCACTGCTGGACAAAGGCCTCTCCCACGGATTCTACAACGTCTGTCCCCAAGCTGCCCTCCTAGACAAGTGCAAAACGTGTCAGTTGCAACTTCGAAAACTATTCTCTTCCTATTGAAACTATTCCTTCGCTCCGTGAAACGATTTAGAAATTATGCGTTTAATTGTTGTCACGTTTTGCCACTTGTCTACGGGGGCACGTGCTTCAGCGATCCTCACCTTAAATACCGGGCTTAGGCGACGTTTCATCCGAGGATGAATTGTCTCCCTTTCAAATTATTAGGTCTCGAATCATCCGCAAAATATGACCTTTCCATTATTAATATTTAATTACATTAATCATATTTCGGATGATCTGACACTTTCAAGCCACAGTTTCACGGCGATCATACGAATATTTGCGGATTTCGATACCTAACAATTTGAAAGGGAGAAAATTTCTTCCTCTGATGAAACGTGACCTAAGTCAAATACCGCAGTGTCTTGGATGGCTAAAAACAAATAATCTTGTGTAAATGAAGTACAGAATACAAAATTCCAACGCACCTGAAATCCGGACTGCACTTTCCTCGAAAACTTGGCATTAGGTACATCCAAAAACAGGGTTGCGTTGATGGCGAACCCTGCCATATCGATAGGGAAGGGTCTGAAGGGCTTCCACGCGGCGTTGTAACCGGTGACCTTCCCATCTTTGACTAAGGGCATCTCCACTCGCATACCACCGACTATGCCTACTGGCCACACGCCGACTTTCTTGACTTTGCGCATCTGAAAAATGTTTAAAAAATATTTTTACTAACTTATTCACTGTTGAAAGTATTTTTTAAAAGTCTTTATTCTGTCCTAGAAATAGAAAAAAATATTACAAAGGCAGTAGGCACCCTATGGCTAATGTGAAGAATCATGGAAGAAAATTCCTATAATAATGTAGTTGTGCGTGAAAGTCAAACAAAAGTTTGTAAAATATTATGTTTCCTAAAAAGATTACTTTGTAATGAAACTACAGAAACCTACAAGAATTTACAGTGACATGTCATAAAATAATAAATCGATATTTTGACTTTTCGATTAATAGAGTTCGATCATTATTTTGATTTTCGATCGATTGGCATTCGATATAGGCGTAAGTAACCCGATGTTTTATCTAAGTAGGATAGTTATAATTAGACATTTCAATGTCTGTCTTTGTTTCCATGGCAAGACTGGTACCTCTGTTATATCAACTGATCCATTGAGAAATTGTTTAGGCATATTACGGTAAATGTATTTACAAATAACATTACAAAAGTAAATGTTTACAAAAGTGTAAATAAATATACGAAACATTTGAAAGAATGACATTTCATGGGTAAAAATAACGCGCAAACGAACACTAAGGTCAGTGCAGTTACTACTAATAAAGTTGCGAAGCGACGCGACTCAATCAGTGTCAAGGTTGATCTCATCTCTATCAATGGCAATTTAAATATTTATTGCAATGCAGAAATATTTTTATAAGTACTTTCCCTGCCTATCTAGCATATTTTAGCAGAACTAAGCTCAGTCAGCTGAATTCTCAATAAATAAATAAAAGTAAAAAAAATCTTTATTCACAGTCTGTTAAATAAAAGTGATGGTGCATGATGGACTCAGGGGGATATTTCTGAATTTACTTCGCATTTTAATGCTATTAGTGATGTCTTTAGGTTAATAATACAAGGAATAATTGTTAATAATTCAAACTCTATTGTCACAAAACCGAAAAACATTAGTTGAGTGACTAATTATGTGCGGCGAACCGAAATTAGTCAATTGTTTTTACGCGTAATAATGTCTTTTTCAGGGAATTCCTCATCATTATATTAATTTGTACTTTATCCTACTAATAATAAATGCGAAAGTTTGTATTGAATGTTTAATACTCTTTTATGCAAAAACTACTAAACGGAACTTGATGAAACTTTACAGTATTGTTGTTTACACAATAATTTATAACAATCTGTGACAAGCTGAATTTCATGCAGGCGAAGCCGTAGGCAAAAGCTAGGAATCCATAAATTATTATGAATAAATGTTCACCAAATCTCGCATTGTACAAGTATCCAGAAATTGGAGAGCATTGTTGTTTTAAGATATTGATAACTTTACAACACATCAATTTGATGTTTGCATTGTTTCACGATGATAATAAACAGTTCTCAAATAAACACAATATTGATAAATTGCTCCGTTTGTAAATAAATGACAAGTGCATCCTGATTTTATATCAAAGGAAGTTTGTTGAACTTGTTGAACTTTAAAATAAAGTTGTAGTTATTTATATACTTACCAGTATAGCTAGAAAGTAAAACTGTGATGTTAGTCAGTAAAAAATATTTTACAGAAGAAATTAGAGGAAGGATGGACTTTAACAAACTTATTAAATACTCAATTACTCAACAGGACTAATCCCACTTTAGTGTGTTGTACTAAGTAGTTGTAGGTAGATGTTAAGTAAAACTCGGATGCCGTAATAAGACTGAGATATTTATTTCCAAAACCAGGGTTCTTATATTATCAAAAATGTATNGACCCCGGTAGTCATAGCTATAGAGTATAGCTAAGACTATGACTACCGGGGTCGTTGAAACACTTTTTCCCATCCACCCCGTTGACGGGGCAGATCCACCGGGGCCGTTGGGACTAACCCAAAATAAAGCATCGCATAGCTCGCTAGTGTAGGTAGGCCGCTGCAGCTGAAATCTACGCCACATAAATACGGCGCGTGCCCGTTGTCTCGCTCAGTGCACGGCAAGGACTCGTACGGGATGGTCACGCCGCTGCTCTTGCGCATGTGACGTCACCCATCGCCGGCGCACGTAAATACCGCGCGCAGCCGCCGTTCGCGCCAGTCAGTCTCAGGCGCGCGGCGCGTGCGGTCAAGCGGTGGAGCAATATTGATGATGCGATGACGTATGAGCTAGGTGGCTACAGTGGGTTAATTTAGACTTCTCTCTTTCGTTTCTTGGACAGTGCTTGATGCGGTAAGCGGACGGCGGGCCACTAAAACGGCATTTTAGGAGCGCGTTCATATTTTCTTAACATTAACGGTTCGCCTTGTAATCTAGTATGATTTCTTTTTAGTTCAATGATCTTTATGGAGGGTGATTGTTACATTGAGTTTCTTCCATCCTTTCCATCAGGTTTTTATTTCTTCACTGTTTCGTGGATATTTTTAATTTCTTTTAGCACTTAAATTATTTTCCGATGTCTTGAAGATATCCATGAATTGTCTTCTCGAGGTAAAAGACAGTGCTAACTGCCTCGTTGGATTAGGTTTTTATGCTCTTGGTGAAAGAATGTATTCTCATTGAAAAGATCTTATTAGATTCAAATTTTCTGGTTGAAATCCGTTTTCCGACGAGGTTATAGAGCAGAGCTTGTTGAGCTGTATTTGTACACTGTAGGTTCACCTTAAATTGCTTGCAATCTGCAGTTTCTTATTGGAATACGTAGTTTCTGCAATCGATTTGAATATTTTGTGGTTCCTATAGAATTTCTTCATTGAATAGTCAATGGCAAGGTTTTGGTTCCAGTTTTTTGAGTTTTCTTGCTATCAAATAAGTTTTTTAGGCGGAGTATCTTTCTTCTGTCTATGATGAAGATCTTTTCCAAAATTCCTTGACCTTCTCTGTGCATATAAGTCTCTTAAAACTGTACTATGTTCGGTTACTCTTTCAATTTTCCGATACCGGTAAGCTGATGTTCTGTTGATAGTATTTGTCTACGCATGTATAAATATGGCAGTAATCCTGATTCTTTTAGGCTCAANAAGAGAGAAGACCTCTCCATTCGCGAAACGAGACATGCAATAACGAAAGGCTATTTATTTTTGGATGCTTCTTTGGTAGCAGTGGGCGGGGCTAGCCTTTAGCAGAAAAGTTTTCGCGTAACGACCACGGAGCGGAACACGTAGTGTAAAGTTTTTATTCGGTTGATTGATGTATCTAGTAGTAATGTACGGGGTTGATGTGTATGTGATTTGATAGTTGATTTGGAATGATAGAAATGTTTATTGTACACTGTATTAACTTGTAAATTTAATTTGTTTTGAGACAAATAAATACTATCTATCTTTAAGGCCGCGGGAAGCACCTGGATGCGGGCAGCACAAGGCCCTATTATTGTGGAAGGCCTTTGTTCGGTCTATTCCACTTTGATCACCTGGCTTTGATGACCCAGGTGATCAAAGTGGACTTCCAGCGACAATTTCACTAAATTGTATTGTAAAGGACACTCCTTTGATCACCTATTAAATAAATTATGCCTCTGAATAGTCACATACATGTCCAATTTGTTTGTTGCGGTTTTTAGAAAATATCACAAATGTTACAAAACAAAATATGTAAGTACAACAACTGGACACGTGACTATTAAGAGGAGGTGTTATTTGTATTAGGTGATCAAAGGACACTAAATTAATTATTTAACTGGAGTTCTAGTGAAATAGACCGCCTCCAGCAGTAGACTGACCTGCGCCGGCGGCGAGCGCGGCCACGAACTGGTGCTGCGCGTGCGCGTACACGTAGGCGTAGGTCAGCCGCTCGGGCGCCGCCGCCGCCAGCCGCCGCAGCGCCACCACCCATGGCCATGCCAACCTTGCGGTTATAACTGGCCGAATCGCGGGAGATGCGCGCGGAACTGCGTCTGCCGTAGCAGGTTGCACTCTGCCGCGCGCAACGCTTGACTCCCTACAAATTCTTTGATCTATTTCCTTGTCCCTATATATGCTACTCTCCCCGTTCTGGGGCTGCGACTATCACGAACGACGTGTGGCACCCTATGGCGCCGAGCTGTTCGGTGCTGCCCTCCTCACATGCCACTTGTACGCAAACGCCTTGAGCCGTTTGAAGTTCGCCTCTGACGCAACTAGATCGGGGTACCAAGCGGGGCCGTGCGTCTCCAGCACGACTTTCTGCAGCAGCTCCTCGCGTGTGTCCCTATATAGGGGACAATCCCGCAGTATGTGGTGACGGTCCTCCTCGAGCTCGCCGCAATCGCAGCTCGCACTGTCCCTCAACCCCATATTGCACAGCCGCTCGTTAAAGCACCCATGCTTGTCGGCCGTTTGGTGTAGTGGTTCAGAACGGACTACTATGCCGAGAGGTCTCGGGTTCGATTCCCGGCCGGGCAGAAATTGAAATGATGAATTTTAATTTCTGTGACGGGTCTGGGTGTTTTCTATGTATGTATTTACAAAAAAAAAAGTATATAAGTATGTTTATCCCGTCGTCTAGTACCCATAGTACAAGCTTTGCTTAGTTCGGGACTAGAGGCGCAGTGTAAAATGTCCAAGGATTATTTATTTATTTATTTATTTATTAAAGCAGCCGTGCCCCGTAAGAACCTGGGAAGCCCGATGATGAGACTGACCTGCGCCGGCGGCGAGCGCGGCCACGAACTGGTGCTGCGCGTGCGCGTACACGTAGGCGTAGGTCAGCCGCTCGGGCGCCGCCGCCGCCAGCCGCCGCAGCGCGCGCAGCCCGCCGCCCGCGCGCGCCACCAGCACGCAGCACAGCCGCCGCCGCGCCGCGCGCCACTCCACAGGGCACACGCGCTCCAGCACGCTCTGGGCAACAAACGAACGTCAGCAAGCGGCCATGAGCGTGCCCATAGCAGAGTAAATACAAATGAGTAGTAGGTCATCTTCATAGAAACGCACCGAGCGCGGATTGTGAGCGCGCCAATACGTATGTGAGCGCGCCAATACGTATGCGGCGCGCACGTACACATTGACAAAATTCGGCGCAACACCCTGCTAATGCACATACAAACCGCGCTCGACGCGTTTCTAAGAAGATGAGCTACTCATTTGTATTTACTCTGGCTCGAAACAGAACGGGGCAACGAAACAGAAGTCAGCAAGGGCCATGGGCGTGCCCATAGTCCTAGCCTAGGGAAGGGCAAGTTATAGCCAGCGTCTTTCAAGGCGAGAGTGAATAGGCACTTGCAGGGCAGATATGTACCATCCTAGACTGCATCTCACTTAACATCAGTTGCGTTTGTGGTCAAATATCTGCCTTGTTACACATAAAAAAAACTGAGGAGTGCAGCAATAAGTCCGCACTCCACCGGGCACACGCGCTCCAGCACGCTCTAGGCAACAAGCGGGAATCAGCAAAGGCATTTACATTAATAAAGCCTAGTCTGGTCCGGGATACGGTTGCCAGGTCCAATATCAATTCATTCATAATTTGGCCGGACATTTTACCCTAAAAGCCGGACATTATTATTATAACACTTTATTGCACAATAAAATATACTCAACATCAAATAAACCGCACCTTCCGCGACGCGAACTTTAAAGATTTTCTTCTGACACAATCATGGTGCCCCAACAATGATTGTGGTGTGAACTGAGTTACGAGCGTTGGAAGTTTGATAATTTACATACTAGATTTGCTTTTTGCGCGCAAGTTTTGTAAGAAATTGCAACAAAATAGTGACATTGTATAATAGTGACACACAAACGCATGCACGTTTGATAAGTGCTTGTCGCGGGGGTGCGATTTATTTGATGCCGAGTGTATTTTAATTGAAATGGAACGCGAAAGTTTGAAATCTTATACAACGAAAAAGAAGTCAGCAAAGTCAAGTGCGTGTCGTGCCACGCGCAGTTTAGGGGTTCCGTACTTGTCCTTCGTTACCACAATATATTTCAGAAGCAATTACTTCATGTAAAGTCAGCAAGGGCCATGGGCGTACCCAGACTGACCTAGGGAGGTAAGTCATTGGATATCCAACTTCTGGCCTAGGGGAGGCAAGTCAGATTTTTATGATCAGATAGTTTGACTTATGCCTATTTTCACCATAAATCCCTAATGTTTAAGTGACCCCTATGAAAAAGAAATGTCTGTTAAATGTTGTCATAGGAGTCACTTGAAAATTAGGGATTGATGGTGAAAACGGGCATTAGTTCCTTCAAAGCAACTTCCAAGGTACGTCCTCTTGCCCCTCCCTTGAACGCCTATGGCTATGACAGGGGAACAACACGAAAACAAGTCCCCACTGGAGCGGAGCCGTGAATATGTGATCACACACTAATCTGAGGAGTGCGGCAATAAGTCCGCACTACAACGTGTACACGCGCTCCAGCACACTCTCTGGGGAACAAGCGAACGTCAGTATGGGCCATGGGCGTGCCCAGTCTCTGGCCTAGGGAAGGGCAAGTCATAGCCAGCTCCCGGACTAGGTGGACAAGTTAGATTTTTAAAGACAGTTTGACTTAGTTCCTTCAAAGCGACTTCCAGAGGGCATCTGANGACAGGGGCACAGCACGAGTCCCCACTAGAGCGGAGCCGTGAGTGTGTGATCACACACTAATCTGAGGAGTGCAGCAATAAGTCCGCACTACAACGCGTACACACGCTCCAGCACGCTCTGGGTAAGAAGCGAATGTCAGTATGGGCCATGGCCGTACCCAGTCTTTCCAAGGGAGGGGCAAGTCATATCCAGCTTCTGGCCTAGGGAGGGAAAATCTGATTTTTAAAGCCAGATTGACTTACTTCATTCAAAGCGACTTCCAGTTTTATGAGTTTTTGTCAAAAATTGGTTATGCATTACAAATACAGTAAAAAAATAAACTACAGACCTGTGAAGACAGTCTAGGCAGAGTCAGCATCTGATTAGCTTCAATCAGCTGGTGCAGCGTCTGCGTTGGAATCTCGGTGGTGCTGACAGTGGCTGCTGGTTCCTCACTGTCTTCTTTAAGGAGAACCATAGTGTCGGTTTGTCTCTGGACCTTGTATCGCGCTGTCACGTTCTGGGTATCGCGAGCCGTCATGTCAACGAAGCTGAGAAAAATGCAATCTTGTAAATGTTGATTTCATTTACTAAACATGATATTCCTTGATTCCTGTTCTTGCCAATGTTTGTGGTAGTTAGCTGATAATAAATAAAGGAAGTACAAAAGTGCCCAGGTTTCTTCCACCACCATTTTTCAGCACCAGTGGTGTTTTGTGTCTCAGGGGTGTATTGTAATATTGGTCCAGTGGTGGCAGGGTAAATGCGCTAATGCAGAATTTGAATTTTATCAGTTTACCTAATACCTGTGCTTTACTGAGAGAGGGCGCCTGTCACTATACCTGATTTTGTTATCATCGTCAAAAAAGTGCCTCTTCTAATTAGACGATTATCACACTGCGCCGCGCTTCGCCGCGGTCCGTGTGATTATTACATATAAAAAATCCCGCGCGCAGACGCGTTGTCAGTGTGTTGTGCCGCGCGTGTTTTCTATACAAACTGAGGTACTTGCATGGAATGATTAAATCTGTCGTCCCGCGTACCGCGGCGGAGCGCGGTGCAGTGTGATAATCGCCTTATAACGTCTGTAATGTAAGATCATGGTAAAGCAATAAAGAATTAGAATTAGAAAGTGTCTCACCCAAAAGCAACTCTGTCTCTATAGTGGAAGGCGGCGATGAGGTACCGCAGACGGATGGTGGCGCGCTCCTCGAAGATCAGCGCCTTCACCTTGTTGTCCTCGAAGTCCGACACGAAGGCTTCCGCGTTGCCGTTGTTAATGCCGCGCACCAGCTTGTACGGGAACTTCCAGCGGATGAACTCTGGAGACGGAGGACAAATATTAATAGTTTTGTAGCGTCAGCGTATACTGCATTTGTTTAGTAGACACAATATAGTAGGTCGCGCGTCACGACTGAGGGAGGACTGACGCACATCAGTTAATAATTAATAAACTGGGCTCTTAATTATCGCACACGCATCCAGCTGTTTCATTTGTCGTCTCCCTGCTTAGGAGCCAAAATTTGTATTGCAAAGATTACTAATAGTCCCGTCTAAGCTAAATATTATATCTGTGTGGATTAACCACAATAGCCCCAGCAGTGACATATTGCGAAATATCTCCCTCTTAACTAATCTGGAACAGGCAGTCCGATACCAAAACCACAGGGCCATTGTTACCTCATTCTAGCCTCACCTCGCCATAGACATTGGCGGAATATTAAGTCCAGAGTGGCGAAAAAATACAAGTTTATCGCCATTCACAAAAGAAGAATGCAAATCCAACAAAAAGTTATGTGGCGATAGAATCTATGACGCCTTGCGACTAGAACTTGCATGTACAGATAGGTACATCTACATATTATACTCACCTAATATCTTCGGCAGTGACGACAGTCCCTCCTTGTAAATGTACACATGTTTATCCAACACCAGTGTGAAACATGGTACGCCATGCACGCCCACGCGACGCGCTAATCCCGCCTCATGACCCGCATGGACTGTCGCTAGCGTCACGCCCAATAGCTACAGTGTACTTATATCTACGTCTACTCATCTAATATCTTCGGCAGCGACGACAGTCCCTCCTTCTAAATGTACACATGTTTATCCAGCACCAGCGTGAGACATGGCACCCCATGCACGCCCACGCGCCGCGCTAATCCCGCTTCGTGGCCCGCGTGAAATGTCGCTAGCGTCACGCCCAATGTCTATATCACACTTAACACCAATATCAACTCACCTAGAATCTTCGGCAGCGACGATAGTCCCTCCTTATAAATGTACACATGTTTATCCAAACACCAGCGTGAGACATGGTACTCCGTGAACGCCCACGCGCCGCGCTAATCCCGCTTCGTGGCCCGCGTGGACTGTGGCTAGCGTCACGGCCAATAGCTACAGTGTACTTATATCTACGTCTACTCACCTAATATCTTCGGCAGCGACGACAGCCCCTCCTTGTAAATGTACACATGTTTATCCAACACCAGCGTGAGACATGGCACTCCATGCACGCCCACGCGCCGCGCTAATCCCGCCTCGTGACCCGCGTGGACTGTCGCTAGCGTCACGCCCAATGGCTGCAACGCATCTACAAGTCGCCGCCACGCCGCCGCCGAGCGGACGCACTCGAAACACCAGTCGGTGTAGAACAGGACGATAGCCGGCGTGTTGACGCTCTTCTCGATTATGTTGTTTTCGAAATGGCTGAAGAAGCCATAACCAATTAAAAATGTATAAAATGGTAAGACCGCCACCACGCCTCGGCAGAGCGAACGTACTACCGAAACAGGACAATAGCCGGCGTGTTCACGATCTTCTCGATTATGTTGTTTTCGAAATGACTGAAGAAGATAGTGGCCAATTTACAATGATGATAATATAGAAGCATGTAAGTAGCATAGCAGTGCTTCAGCGGTGGATTATCAGACACCAAATTTAGTCTCATCAGAGTGGTAAAATAGAGCTAAGTGTGTTTTAATATTTAAAGTATGTATTGAATGGACCACAAGCCTGAGGCAGATAAATAATTTCTACACGTTTACCAATACACACTGTCTTTACCAATACTGAGATTTGCTTGTAGACCATTTTAACTATTACGATTATTTTTAGATGAGAGCTTTATTAGATGCAACAGCAATTTGTTATATTTTAAAATCCTTAATGCAACTCTAAATGTAGAAGTGACTCACCGTGTTGTCACAGACAGTTTGTGAAATAATGTAATATCCTGATCTTGTGTTCTGAAGTGGGTGCCAAAGAATTCCTCAAATGGGTCATTGCTGAAATATGAAAATTTTGAATCATTCATGGAATTCCAATTATTGTAGATCACTAATCATTCTCTTACACAGTAGTAAACACAATTTGAAGTTCTAATGCCTGTAGTCTGCACAATCACATTTTACTTTCTTTCTTTGCAGTTAATGAAACTAAATATTAGGCAAATGGAAGTTTTCTCTTAATTTTTGCATTTACCATTTTAATGAAGAATGAAAATACATTAAAAATTGTATACCTAAACAACAAAAAAATTGTATAAACATACATACTATATAGCTTACTGATAAGAAGATTTAATATTTATAAAATAAAAACATCTAGATTTTATACTTCACATTAATGAATTAAACAAACCAACCTGAATCTAGCATACTGGCTGTAGTCATGCCTTGGTTTGTACATGTGTTCGTCTTCGTTCGTAATGCCATACAGATCATACGCCTGCCGTCTCTCGGTGTCTGACAGAAGCTCATACGCTTGTTTAATCTCCACAAAGCGAGACTCTGCATTCGGATCTTCATTTTTATCTGGGTGCCTAAAACATTGAGGAAATAATAATGTTATCAGCATATTAGCAGTTTAGTTGTTTAGCAGTTTAATATAAATTATTAAAAAATTACAATATGTGTATCTTTTTTATCCACAATGAGGAAGCTCTTGACCTGTATCTCACCTGATGGTATTGATTTTATCACACTCATAATTAAACTTTTCTATTCTATTTATTTTAATAAACAGTAAGAAACTTGTGGGATTTGAGTGACAAACTTCTGTCTTAGAAAACTGTACACAACAGTACAGAAAATATTACTAGGCACAAGGATCTCAAAATTTCATGAACAAAACATACCACTCTTTAGCTAGTTGCCTGTAGGCTTTGCGTATTTCGAACAGGGTGGCCCTGCGGTGTATGCCAAGAATCTTGTACGGGTCACCTATTTTTTGCGCGAGAACCAGTGGGCACAGTGCGATGGCCACCAGGACCCACAGCCATCGCCCTTTCCATCCTTTCTTGCCGTTCCATAGCATATTATCCACTTAAAATCGAGTTCCACCCTTCCAAACGACACTTCGCACTATTCATAGAATTAATTTCATAGCGACATCAAAACAGACGCAGGGCACATGACTGACTGCAAATTAACACAAAATACTAGAAAATGTTATCAGTCATGGATCTTAAAATAGAATAGCTGAAAATTTAAGAATCCTGAAAATTTCACGAAAATTACAAAACGTCAAACGAGCCGAGCAACCATAGTTGAATCAATATGTTTTTTAATTTGTTCTCCACTGCGCAACATGTAATGAAATAATCATTCATACATCTTCAGATTAAATTCTATCCAACCTCTCTTTCACTCTTAACTCGTAATCCCATAGTGTATCTCACTCTAATAATAAATTGTAGCCAGCTTGATGAAGGACATCACTTATTTTGGTTTGATGATCATCAAAATATTACTTAGAATGCATTAAAACCACAGATATGGATTAGAGTAGATACAGCAAGTTGATCGTCAAAGCGTGCCATTCCGATATGTCCAAATGGACATACATGGTCGAGTGATGTTCATGTAATCCGATTACAACAATCGGTTACGATGATTTTACGAGGACAGTAGTACGAACACGGGAGAAAGAAGAAATTATTTACGGATTGAGAATTGTAATTAACAGCACAAGTAACAAATAATTAATTAGAATAAAGTAGCAGTAGAAGAAGTATAAAGTAGCATTGTTTTTAATACATATCCTGCGATGTACTCTTAAGAGTTAAAACCATGGTCCCTGTATGTGGTGCACTCATACCGATCCCAAGGAACCGTACTTACTCATAACAATAAGACACACACTGATGCATGTATTCATGCACTTGACAAATTTATGTTTTGAAACGCTGGTAGGGTAAAAAAAAAAACACGTTGTTAATTGTAAGCCGATTACAACAATCGGTAACGATGATTTTACGAGGACAGTAGTACGAACACGGTAAAATTAATAAATTATTAACGGATTGAGAATTGTAATTAACAACACAAGTAACAAATAATTAATTAGAATAAAGTAGCAGTAGAAGAAGTATAAAGTAGGATTGTTTTTAATACATATCCTGCGATGTACTATTAAGAGTAATGTATGTGGTGCACTCATACCGATCCCAAGGAACCGTACTTACTCATAAGATTATGACACACACAGATTCGTGTATTCATACACCAGACAAGTTTTTGTATTGAATCACTGGTAGGGTGAAAAAAATAATGAGATTTGACGATTTGTAAGAATTAATTTATTTAAAAAGAAAAATAAAGATGTTTTTGGTTTTGTATCGGGCCCCCGGGAAACCCCTAGTGCCAGACTTTTTCAAATAGACAGAGTAGAGGCATCTGCCTAAGGAAGTTCTATAATTTTGCCATTACCTTTTTTATAAATGACGGCGGAAGAACAATTTTATTCAAACCTTTTGATTTGTTTTGATTATTTTATAGGGCTTGTCTAAAGCACAATACTATTCATTGCACTTATAATATAATTATGAAGAAAAATCTTTTGTGTTTCATTTTACTTCCAACGTTTTTTACCACATTGAATTTTGTCGTTTAGAAAAATCTTCAAAACTAGGTACCTGACTTAGCTTTATGAAACAAAACGTATTGGCAAAAATACGCATTTTTACATTTATTAAAAATAAAAAGTTTGAGTGAATAGTCTTTATTTTATGAAACTAGGCCAGGTACTTACTAGGATATTTAAAAGTATGGAATTAAGTATGAATTACTAGTAGAACTATTTAACATAATGGAAAAACGATCATTACTTTCATAAACATTAGGCACAACAAAAATAAATAATGTAGAATAACGTCTACCGCTACAAAATTATTTTAATCCACATTCAGACTAGCTATAAATTTAATAAAATGTCAGTTTTATCGGAATTAATTAATTTTCGAATCGAGTCATACGATATCATTCGATGACTTTGCGAATGCAGTACGTTGATTACGATACTTTTACGTTGCGGCAATCACTAAAATTCGCTAAAATGACACTAATGACGTTTAAAAAGTGGCACGCTCGGCTTCATACAATTTTTGACACATGCTTCATCTATTCATATCTGTGATTAAAACTGTCACTTATTATTTGTATCAACATTCATTCTGCAGTCTTCAATTTTTTTTTATGATTATTGGGTGAAAAGGAAAGGTTTATCTTGGACGGAGTTTTGACGTTGACACTGACAAACATCAGACAGCTGGAGCCAGGGTGAAGAAACTTCCATACAACGGTCATTGAAGTGAAACTTGCTTCCAAACAGCGACATCGGTGAATAAATTCAAATACTTTTTAACTACCCTAAAACGCTCTAGATGTCGCTGCTCCTGTTTCCTTCATATTTTCATTTTTTTCTTAATTAAAATATATTTGAGAATATTGTTAATTACAATGTGAAAACTTTTTTTAAATGAAATTAATTTGTTTTAATTTAAAACTGAACATTGACATTTTTGTTATAATTTACATAATAGAGTAGTAGAAATTACTATTTAACATATGGCAACTTTGTTTTTCCTCCAAAATGGCCGGTGTTGTTTTTGTTAGGTTGAATTGAATGCATTATTGTTTTCTTAGCCATCGTTTATGAGTTCTGTGGCCCTATTAAAGTATTGAAGAGTCGAGTCAAATTCAAGTTCATTCCTTCGTACCTGCTGCTGTTCTGGTTCATCGGAGTTTTGTTCGTTCCTTCGTGAATCGCGAAGAAACTTTCTGTTATGTTCACAAGTGATCTGAGTTTTTTCAATGTGCTGTGTTCTGTGTTTAGTGTTGAAAACTTTGCCAAAAAACGCTTTTGGTGTCTAATATTATGTGTGTTCATAAATAAAGTAAAATTATTAAATTCAAAAGTTTTTGTTAACTTATTTGCATTTCCATGTGCAATGTAGAATTTTTCCAAATACATTGTTTTGAAAATACGTACACCATAAAGATAAATATTTTCAAAATAATGGATTTGAAAAAATTCTACATTGTACATCATAAAAACAATAATTCTTTGAAGGTTATGAGGGCCTATGTGTGCGTGAACTGTGTGTATGTGTGCGTGGACTTTATGTATGTATGTGTGCGTGTACTATGTATGTATGTGAGGGTTACGTACGTAGGTTAAGTACAGGGAATTTAACACCAGGCTATCAATTAGTAGGCTCAAAAATTTGACAGAGAGGGTTCTCTATTTCCTATGTATTACTTTTCTCTATGGCTGGAGCTATTTGACAAAATCGTAATCAAATCAAACAGAAATTCATTCGTTGTGAAATACAGACGTGTATCGTGTAATCGTGAAAGATAAAACATTTAGTTAATTTTTCAATTCATATAGTTTTCAAAGAAAATACAACTCGGGTAAGTTTTTCGAACAATGTCGGTAATTAAGGTTATAATGTAGGGTGGCTAAGTTTTCAGATTGAGATCCAGGACACTACAAATTTTATTTTATTTATAAATTAATTGGCTTATACACGACTGAAATTACTTTGATGTCTTAATGTGGATATTTTCAAGGTTTAGCACATATCCAGAGTTTCATATAATACTTAGAAAAACCCATTAGCCTGTTGCATCATCAAAATGAAAATAAAGTTCTCCTAAGTTTCATTAACAAAGTTACGATGTTCATTACATCATTTTTCGAGTACGATTAAATTACGATGTTTTTTTTAATTTTTAGACAAAAACCCGCATGATGATCAAACAAAATACCTGCGTGAATTCTTGAAATCCAATCACACTTCTATGTGTTATGCTTGTCTCTTGATGTTTCTTATTTAGTTTTATTAATAAAATTTCTAACTAACTTGACATACCTACCGTGGTTGTCTTTTGGAGATAATATTATTGTGATCTAATTATGTTTTTCAAAGTGATTAGGTGTTCATTAGTAGAATACATTTACTAAGAGACAGTATGCCGTGTTATCTGTGCTAGCTAATGTTAATCATCAAGGTTAATGCTTTTTGTTCTTCTTAAATTAGTCGATGCTTCCTTTAATTAAATTTAGGTACTTAGCGATATTTTTATTTAATTCTTGTTTATTTGTAAAGTTTATTTTGATCTTATATTTATATTAAATGTTTTATAAATTATGGGGTAGAATTATTGTGCCAGTAAAACTTTTATTTAATAATAATATTTAAGTCCTACAATCGTCTGCCCTTAAGACTAAGTTTAGTGACTGTCGAAGTAAATTCATAAAGTTTAAAATAAAACAGGATAAAAATAAATGTTATTATTAAGGGTCATCGTCCGTTCTAATTGCTTTAACCGGTTATTCCAACAGATAAGGTAACATTTACTAAATTGGTAACATGTTTTGATACTTAGCATGACAGTTTTTGGCAAAAAAGCACTACATTACTTTTTTGTTTTTTATGTACTTTATTAGGGATTTTTGAGACATTTCGACCGAAATCGCTAAAATGTATTCAATTTGAATCTTTACGTTTTAGCAAATTCTTATACATTTGAGAATAAATGATTAGAACTGCCTTTATTGTTACTCAAATGAATTGCTCCGAAAAATACTTGAGATAACTTTAATTTAAAAGTAAAATTTTAGAAACGGCTCGTTTAAAGATAAGTTTCTTGGTATATCCGACAAGGTAATAATATTAAACGAACTGTGACGCACAGTAATGTCGGTAATTGCGGTGGGTGTGTAAGTGACGCTTTGGAGCCAATTGGAACCACTTACTCTAATACACTCGCGAGCAAAAGTATGGAATCACTTACATGAAGTTGTTTCCACGCGATCTTGTGTACTAACGAATTTGTTAGTAACAAAAAAAGTAGCACCATTTTAAAGATTAAACTTTTAACTTTAAATTGATACCAAATTCATTTAAATCACACCGGTATTTAAAAAGATATCCCGCTTGATGTGAAGAAGTAAGAAAAAAGACATGTACCAACTGTTTGATACGTCGCGAGTTGCGGCCTATTTATCCCCTATAAAAGCACGTGATTTCGGATTTTTGCGTTCACACGTTGATCCATACACATCTCGGCTTCTTTTGACACTTTACCTGGGATTCTACACCTACAGAAGCAGCACAAATTGTTGCACTGTTGCAAGAAGGGCTCAGCCAGCGGGCTATCGCACGTCAGCTCCACATAAGCCAGTCCTGGGTTTCGAAAGTTTTAAGACGCTTTTGGGAGACTGGTGGCTTTATCCCCAGACCAAGTTCTGAACAGCGCCGGTGCACATCGCAGAGGGATGACCGTTTTTTCATGTCAACCTCTCTATGAAATCGTCATTTGACTGGCATCAACGTCCAGCAAGAGCTCAGAAATGTTCGAGGGATAGCTGTTAGCGAGTGGACAGTTCGTCTAAGATATGAGCAATAAAATTTGACTCCAAAAAGGCCTGCCACAGGCTGGAAACTGACGGCAGGTCACCGACAAGCACGCTTTCAATTAGCTTGCACTCGGAAGACGAGTAATGGAGGCGAGTTTTGTTTTCCGATGAATGCAGACTGTTTTTGCAGTGCAGCAGTCGAAGAGGTCGGGTCTATAGACGGCCTGGGGAGCGATTTGTGCAGTGCTGGTTCGCTAAAACATTGGCTTATGGGGGTGGCTTGCTCGACTTCCCATCGAGATGTGTAGGAGCAAATTGAAAGCGTGCTTATCGGTGACCTGCCGTCAGTTTCAAGCCTGTGGCAGGCCTTTTTGGAGTCAAATTCTATTGTTTATATCTTAGACGAACTGTCCACTTGCTAACAGCTATCCTACGAACATTTCTGAGCTCTTGCTGGACGTCGATACCAGTCAAATGACGATTTCGTAGAGAAGTTGACATGAAAAAACGGTTTTCCCTCTGCTATGTGCACCGGCAATGTTCAGAACTTGGTCTCGGGATAAAGCCACCAGTCTCCCGAAAGCGTCTTAAAACTTTCGAAACCCAGGACTGGCTTATGTGGAGCTGACGTGCGACAGCCCGCTGGCTGAGCCCTTCTTGCAATAGTGCAACGATTTGTGCTGCTTCTGAAGGTGTAGAATCCCAGGTAAAGTGTCAAAAGAAGCGGAGATGTGTATGGATCAACGTGTGAAAGCAAAAATCCGAAAACACTTGCTTTTATGGGGGGTAAATAGGCCGCAACTCGCGACGTATCAAACAGTTGATACATGTCTTTTTCCTTACTTCTTCACATCAGCCGGGATATCTTTTTAAATACTGGTGTGATTTAAATGAATTTGGTATCAATTTAAAGTTAAAAGTTTAATCTTTAAAATGGTGCTACTTTTTTTGTTACTAACAAATTGGTTAGTACACAAGATCGCGTGGAAACAACTTCATGTAAGTGATTCCATACTTTTGCTCGCAAGTGTAGATCACAGGAAAGTGATTGTTTCTGATTGTAGATACGCAACTGAAACTATGATTGAACCTTGTGTGAGGTCACTTGTTATTTCCTTTTTATTCCACCCTAAGCGAAATAATTTAATGAAAATAGCTAACTATAGTATCTAACATTAGATTTCGACATTGATTGAATAAATTAGAATGAAAGGGAGGTGTGATAGTGTTGATCGGCCATGGCCGCACTTTACATTATGAAATTGTAAACTCACGTCTTGGCGAAACAATATTTATTAATAAGGGGGATAGTGTATAAGTTACAAGTTAGTTACTTTTAAACGTATAATGCTGGACACTAACTGTATTTATTTTGCTCTGTATTCGTTTACTAGATAGGATAGGCAAACAGATTATTATTATTTACGTCGATAGAGATTTGCATTGTTAAGCTTTAAGTAGGTACTTATGATTCGCAGTTAAAGCATATTTTGCCTAGTGTAATGCCGATTCTTATTTAAATGAATATTGTTATATTGCAAGGTGGAAGTTTCTTAATATGTTTGACCTTCAGTAAACACCTTACTGTAGCTAGCTGTAGGTGTAGGTATGACGTGAATGAACTATTGTTTAATCCGTCACACGTGCACAACATTTATTTTGTCAGGCAGGCGTGTGCATCTGCGACAAGCGACACAAGTAAGTCGCGTTAAATAGTTTTATCAATTAATTTTAAAATGAAAAGTTATGAATGAAAGTTACCTAAATAGATAGTGAGTAATTTTATTCTTTAATAAATATTTTTTATGTATTTAAATGCCGAAATTACACATTACGTTCATGTTCTTGTTTTCGATACCTACATTACAACTACGCGCGCTCAAGAAAAGCTTACGCTCGAGAAACGCCAGTCGCTAGTGTGAATTTTGTGATATACTTGTAGTCTTCATTTCATTACTTATCTATTTCCGTGGCTGTTAGTTATTAGCTACCTAGTGATAATTGATTGATTAAAATTTTACGTTTTACAAACCTTATAATTATCTACATAACCTATCAAATAAATATCTATTATCATCCGATTGAAACTTATGATAGTGTTATAACGTTGATTAAATGAACCGCCGTTTTTACCGCCAATCTCGTAAAGTTTTCCGTATAATGATACCATTATATTAATTAAATATTAATATCCTGACTCCAGAACAAACAAAATGGACGCCCTAGCGGATATCCTGCAGCCCCACAAGGAACTGATCGGCTCCATAGCAGCGATCGTGACCATCGGTCAGATGTTCTCTGGCAGCTTCATGTGCTGGGACATCTACAAGCAGGGGAGCACAAGAGGCGTTACTATCATGCCGTTCATCGGTGGTGTGGTGATGTAAGTATTTCGTACAAATTCCAGTTGGGCAAGAAAACAAACAGTATAGTACCTAATCCTCATCATTTTGAACCTTAATTTATGACGTATAAAAAAACGTTATTGAGATTATGATGCTTACTGATAATCTTATACTTCAACAGAAAGTGTCATCAATAACAAATCTGAGCTAAGTAGATTTGCGATAACTCCAACCAAAGTATGATGAAATCCTTATAACAATGTGCAGCAAAAGTATGATTAATAATGATGAAGCATTTAAATCTAGTAACGACTTGATTTTTTCTTTAGGAGCATCCTCAATTTGAAGTATGGGTACATCCTACGTGACGACACAATGATCCTGGTTAACCTGGTTGGCCTGGCTCTCAATATCATCTACGTGATGATATACTTCCAGTACACTTCGGAGAAGGTTAAAGTATGGGCGCAGATGGGCCTGGCGGGTGCATTATCTGCTGCATTGATTGGATACGCACAGATGGAAGATCCGAAACTAGTGGAAAATAGATTCGGGTTGATTATTACGGCGCTGATGTTTTATTTGATAGCTTCGCCCCTATTTAACTTGGTAAGTCTTCTCATTCCTTTTTGTTACTTGATAAAAACAGATAATACGAGTACATAGCTGTAAAATTTACTATCGTCCTTCAGGAAACAAACTGTTATTGTTACCACGTTAATAACTTAAAAACATCATGTTATTTAGTGACGACTTTTGAATCATTAATATCCTCAAAAGGTTGGATATTGCAGTACGAATTCTAACGTTGTACGGTTGATTTTCAGAGTGAAATAATCAAGAATAAAAGTACGGAAGGCATGCCGTTCCCCATCATTCTTTCGGGTACTGTTGTCACCTTTATGTGGCTGCTCTATGGGATCACGCTGCGCAATTCATTTATTGTGGTGAGTACATCTTTAAAAACGTTCAAGTTATTATATCTGACAATAAATAATAATTAAAATGTCAAATATTGTAATACTCATACATAAATTCCATTATCTTATCAAAGAATGATTGTTATCTTAGTATTGTTTCCTTTATTATTCAATAACGATTAATTATTTATCGAATTTCATTTTCTATTAAATGAGACTTGGAATTTTCAAATGGGTTATTATATTTTTGAAACTACTAACATTTTGTAACCCATTTGTGCACCAAATGTCTCGTAAGACGGGATACTCAATTATTTAAAAATTCTGTATAGCCGTTTCAGTATGGTCTGCGATCTGCATTGAACCTAAATACGCGTCTTAATTTCATACGACACTATATTATTATTATGCTTCTATTAGACACAATTAATGATAACTGCCTCTATCCAGTATGACGGCAGCATTCCTAGACGAACTTAAGAGACTAGATTTACTATTAAGTGTTTTCTAAACCTTATTATATCCTTTTCAGATTCAAAACATCGTCGCATTTGTCCTGTGTGCAGTGCAGCTGTCGCTATTTGTGATCTACCCTTCAAAACCCAAAGAAAAGTCAAAGGCCAAAAAAGCAAAGAAAATTGACTAAATTGTAACTCGAATATTAACCACAATGATGCCTCACTAGTGTGTAGATAACTACGAACTGTGAAAAACATACAGTAATCATGGTATTTATTTTTAAAAGAATAGTGTATTTTTTGGCCATTGTACTAATCGATTCCGATATTTTATTGTACAAAGTAACAAATAGACGCTACAAATTAGCAGTTGGTATAATTGATTTTACTATAAATTACAACAAAATTAAATAATAAACAAACAGGGCAAGCTAAACAAATCCGTTTAGAAATGAATGGGATCTCCTATTAAGACAATTCCATTTAGCATTTTATATTTTAATCTTTATGTAAAATTATTGTGCAGGTATTGCATTCAATAAATTGTAATTAATTTTTAATTAAAACATTAAAAAGAACCTGATTAGTACCCGTAACAGAAGGTACAGTATTTAATTTTAGCCTTATCTGCTAGTTTATAGCTCATCCACATCAAGCGTTATGGTTGCGATTAGATAATATTTTTACGGATGGTTGACTGTTATGAAATGATAATATTTTATTGAGTCGAGATGTACGTAATGAATAGATTTAAGATTAAGTGCCCTGTTACCTATCAACGTAGTATTTTAATCGTTTTCATTTTTTGATATTTTATAATGCTTAACTAAACAATTTTTATTTCCGTATGCATTATTACTTATAGTTTGTTTAATTATCTTATCATACGACATTCCAACTCGATAGTCATTATTGTAACTCGTGTTTAATCTAATGTTCATTTGTTTTTGTTAAAGCATTAACATTTTCATGCTATGAATTTCCTTTTTATTGTATTAATCAACAGTTTATTATGATGATGTATTTATTTTAATCAACCCCTGAGAAATGCTGTTTGTGATAAGATGCAAACGTTGTGATGACATTTGTTAATGAGAATATTGTTAAGCTTACCGGTGAATAAATTTTTATAATGTTTTATTCTTATATTGTTGTTTCTTTTTTAAGTTTTTGTCTTTTGCGTAGATTTTTTGGCATGTTTCTAGGTAAATTTAACCCTATTAGTTAGTAGGTCATTATCGCTCGTTTGGTGAAATAATTTTCAATAGTGTATGAGTTGTTCACTGATTTTTTTGATCATTATAATGCTGTTTATCGTCATCGATAGAACGATATACAATCTTCTTTCTGATCAGTGTCATTGTCGGAAGAGTGATAAGTCATAGGCAGACGGAAAATAAAAAGATATAGCTTTCAGTCAGACAATGTCATTTAGAATTTTTCCAGAAATGACTCTATTAATTTAATATTTTAAAATCTTTATTTTATCTATTATCTAAACTATAATAAGAACAAATGTTACGAAATTCCAAACCACAATCTTACTTTGTTACTGTTTAGTTCTAATACAAGTTTATTTAGGATTTTTGGCTAAAATTCTTGTTCAACTTTAATTGGACCACAAACATGATTTCCTTGGGAAGGTCGTATTTATTAAGATCTGCGAGAAACACTTGGCTATCATGTAATCCCATGGTACGTAAGAATTTACTCTGGAAATCCTGTCAGTATTTTGATGTTTGGTCACCCTAGTCACCGCGGAAAACATTATGTAGTTTAAAGGGAAGTTGTGTTGTTGAAAATTAATGTTTCTAAATATTTCAGTACATTATGAGCCTTCAGGCATCTTCCAAAGCAGAATCTTTCCTCAGCGGCACTAATGCCAATTTTCTTGAAGCCCAATACTTGGACTGGGCGAAGGCTAAAGGAGCCATTGATAACGTAAGCGACAACCACTTAATTTTTGTATTTTTATATCTTAAAAATACTTGATATTATTATTATATCTATAGGAAAATAGAAAATTCCTTGTTGAAGTCGTTTGTGAACTTTTGGACCTTACTTTACCTAACTAAACAGGTGTTATTTTGGGAGGTACCAGGGTTCCAGTCACCTTGCATAGATTTAATTTAAATTATATAATTTTAAACGTGGTGTTACAGTCCTGGGACAATTTTTACGATAGCCTCAACGGGCCAGCACTGAAAATAGAAGAGTTCGAAGATGAATTCAGTCCGAAGACTGTCAGTAAGTTTAACTTAATAAGTAGTAATAGTTATTTAAATTAAACTTGTCGCTTGCATCCAAATTAGTAAATTACCTATTATTACGTTATTTACATTACAGAACCACGCCAAAAAGAGAAAAAGGGTGAAGCCTCGAAAGAAATCATAACTCTTCACCTAGCAGTACAGAATCTTATTAGAAGTTACCAGGTCAGTATCTCGCTGTGACCCTCTTATACCAACTTCAGAATAAAGTTTTTTCAGTTATTTTGGAGAAAAAATGACACTTTTTATATGCTATTAGGCGCGAGGTCACCTGCTTGCTAAAACCGATCCCCTGGGATTGGCCCTGGCGGCAAGGTTCATCAAGAAGCGAACCACGGACGAGACTAAAGGCGTGGATTGCAGGATCGTCTCCAGGGAGCTTGGAACTATATTGTGTATGTAAATACTTGTATACACCTATACCTACTATTTTCAGAGATATAAAGTTTCTAACTGAACCAAAATGTTGCAGGCGAAAAGCACATGGACATGGTGTTCGAACTTCCTGATAGAACATTTATTGGAGGGAAGGAGAAATCTTTGACTCTTCGGTTAGTTAAAATCCTTTCGTTAGCGACATCAGTTAACGTTAGAAAGGTTGAATTATTATTGTTTAACTTGAGTATCATTGCCTGAGTGACTTTAGTCATGTGCTCTTGAGTCGAAGTTTGAGCAATTCAATGGTTTTTCCAATTTCAGAGATATCATCCACAGACTTGAGACAAGTTACTGTGGTCCAATCGGGGTGGAGTACATGCACCTCTATGATTTAGACTGCATCCAGTACATCCGGGAGCGCATGGAGATGCCGGGGGCTTTTGACCGCAGTGTCGAAGAAAAACGGCTCATTATGAGGCGTCTCACCAAAGCGGTCTTGTTAGTTTTCACCATTTTGAAATTTGATAACGATTTTTTACCAATTAACCTACCAATACCTTCCTTCTTCTTTATATTAGCCTAGAAAAGTACTTCGCGACCAAGTGGCCAGCGGAGAAGCGTTTTGGGCTCGAGGGTGGCGAGAGCATGATTGTGCTCCTGGAGGAGATCGTGGACTCCGGCACCAAGCTCGGCGTGCAGTCCATCGTCATGGCGATGCAGCATAGAGGTAATGACAAAGGAGATAGGATACGTAAACATAATTAACAGTATTGTTATTGTCAGCGTACAATACTTTTATTTTTGTCAGGTCGACTAAACATGCTTGTGAACGTTTGCCGCAAGCAGCTGACGGATATCTTCGCACAATTCAAACCTATGGAGCCCAAAGAGCCGGCTAGTATTATCTTTTCTTTCAGTAAACACATAGCATCCATTATTTAGCTCTTGTATTTTTTTTATGCAGCACAAAACAGATATTTGGTATATGATAACTGAATTTAAAAAATACTCCATCCATATTCAAGGAATCACGTTTATGGTACAGGGTTCCGGAGACATCAAGTATCACTTGGGGACCTACATCCACCGGTTCATCAGACGCACCAACAAGTATATCAAGGTCTCCATGAGCGCGAACCCCTCGCATCTGGAGGTGGTCTCGCCTGTCGTCGTCGGGAAAGCTAAAGCAGAGCAGTTTTGGAAGGGAGACAGCAATGGTGATAAGGTGCAAAGTTTCACCATTCTACAGGCTTACTTACATAACTATTGTAGGTATTTTTCTCTCAGTACACAATTATTATCATCGTGAATCATGTCGTCACACTCGTAGATCGCATTTAGTTGTAAATGTGTCTAGTCATGCTTTATAGCGATTCTAAGCTTGCTAACATCGCAAAGTAGGTGAGTAGGTAAGGTATTTACGTTCGCTTAATTATATGACTTGCACAAAGTAGACTTTTTTAGGCATTAAGTAGGTAACTACCTACTCTGTCTAAATTGGTGTTTATTAAAGATTTATGCCTCTGATGCTGATATAGGTGATGGCAATAATAATGCACGGCGACGCGGCGTTCTCTGGCCAAGGCGTGGTCTTCGAGACGATGCACCTCAGCAACCTGCCGGATTTCGACACTCACGGCTCTATCCACATCGTATGCAACAACCAAATCGGGTACACCACGGACCCTCGTTTCGCGAGAAGCTCGCCATATTGCTCAGGTCTTAATGATTGTATTTTATCAGTAGTTGAGCGTTGTAGACTGTAGTGTAACACAAGGCTTTGGATTTAAACTCATAATAAATAAAAGATGACACTGTATAATATCGGATTCAGCTTCAATTTAATGATAAAATTCACTCATCAGGATTCTCGATTAAAAGGGTTCAGATATTAAATTCCTATTTCCAACGTGTTAGTAAAATCTGACACCTCAATTTATGCTATTCAAAGCGCCCTGCTTTCATTTTATTTGCTTCTACCGTCAATCAGACGTGGCCAAATGCGTGGACGCGCCCGTGCTGCACGTGAACGCGGACGACGCGGAGGCGGTGGCGCACGTGGCGCGCATCGCCATCGAGTACCGCTGCAAGTTCAAGAAGGACGTCGTGCTCGACCTCGTGTGCTACCGCCGCTTCGGCCACAGCGAGGAGGACGAGCCCAGCTTCACGCAGCCCTTTATGTACAAGAAGATCCGCAGCATGAGCACCGGTTAGCCCTTCATATCTGCAGCCTTTGAAACTGCTTCATAGGGCCCATAATGTCACCATAGCTACCAAATCGCTACGAGTGCATTACCGCAGCAAAATTTATATAAATGTTGTGCTTTAGAGAGTCGAGAGTATAGCAGATAATTAGTCCATCGTGAGCAGAAATTTGTCCACTAATAGCAAAATTCGTTCAAATTATAGTTTAAAAGTTATTAGGAAAAAACAGATTTTGCTGGGGTAATGTTTCAAACATTACCCCAGCAATTTTTTTTTTTAAAGTCGTTCTATCCCGGAACCAAATACATGGATAGATAGCTTTTGTTGCGAAGTAATTTGTCCACGAATAGCAAAATTTGTTCGTGTTCCGGTTTTCAAGTTATTCAGAATTTTGCTGGGGTAATGTTTTGTGATGTCCTAGATCTCGTAAATGGCTCAACGCAGAAGTTTGAAAAAAATACCACTGATAGACCTTGATATGTCCAAATTAGTTCAAGCATTAGTCATTGATTTGAATGATAAACACCAGTGTAATTAAATGATTTCGAAAATCAGATAAAACGGTTTTGTGAGTAAACCAGTACTCTTACAATCGAATAAAAAAGTGTAGCATGTACCCTTGGTACACCTTTATAACCACAGTAAATATAAATGATGTGGCTTTGCGCAAAAGAGAGATTTCAAGAAATTCAATTTATTTTAACAGTCTTACTTTCGTGGCCGAATACGCAATTCCCTTATAACAAGGGAACATGGCATACAATGGACAAATTAAAATGTTCCTTGAATAAGCTATCCTGTTAATTTCAGCTTTATATTACGGCTTATAAGAAAGTTATCGGACTGCAAAAAAATATCAGGAATTCTTCTATAAGCCGACCAAATTATAAAGGTCACAAAAAAGCGATTTTTATTCGATTGTAAGAGTACTGGTTTACTCACAAATCCGTTTTATCTGATTTTCGAAATCATTTAATTACACTGGTGTTTATCATTCAAATCAATGACTAATGCTTGAACTAATTTGGACATATCAAGGTCTATCATTGGTATTTTTTTCAAACTTCTGCGTTGAGCCATTTACGAGATCTGGGACATCACAAAACATTACCCCCGCAAAATTCTGAATAACTTGAGAACCGGAACACGAACAAATTTTGCTATTCGTGGACAAATTACTACGCAACAAAAGCTATCTATCCATGTATTTGGTTCCGGGATAGAACGACTTTCAAAAAAAAATTTTGCTGGGGTAATGTTTGAAACATTACCCCAGCAAAATTTGTTTTTTCCTAATAACTTTAAAACTATAATTTGAACGAATTTTGCTATTAGTGGACAATTTTCTGCTCACGATGGACTAATTATCTGCTATACTCTCGACTCTCTAAAGCACAACATTTATAAATATTTTGCTGCGGTAATGCACTCAATCGCTACATTTTCGGTTATCAAACTGATACCAGGATTACCAGCTGAGGTAAACCGTTTTAAACATTTTGTAGGTCCCAATAAGATGGCTCTAAGTCTTGCAAAGAGATGACGTCATAATTCTGACTGCATATTTTTTTCAGTGGATAAAATATACGCCGATAAGCTGAAATCAGAAGGGGTAGTGAATGACGGTGACATTAAGCAATGGGAGAAAGAGTACATGGACACCTTAAACAAACATTTTGAACTTGCCAAGAAGGTTACCAAGCTTAGTATCATGGACTGGATCGACACTCCGTGGACTGGCTTCTTCGAGGCCAGGGATCCCAAAAAGGTGAACGTTTTATCTACTTTTTAGATACCTATATTAGATTCAATAAAATACCAATCCATCGCAACAGGTCCTGTACCTATTACAATACCATAATTTTTGTTCCTTAGATCGAGGATACAGGCATTAGTGACGCCACCATATCAACGATTTCGGGACATTTCTGCAAGCCTCCCGAACCATGGGCATTTGAAGTGCATAAAGGTGTCAATAGGATCTTGGCTAATCGAGAAAAAATGGCGAGTCTTTTAATAATTTGCTTGTTGTAAATTATAATCATAGAGTGTTAGAACTTATTGCCATGATTGATTCTTGCAGATTAAGGAAGGTATTGCTGATTGGGCAATGGGTGAGGCGCTGGCAGTGGGCTCCTTACTTCGAGATAAAATACACATTAGGTTTACTGGTGAAGATGTTGAGCGAGGCACTATGGCTCACAGGTAAAATCATCATCGATACTCATAATAATATCATGGATGGTTTTGTATTTTGTGTTTTAAGACCTCTCCATAAATTCTTTTGTTGATGTGTAGGCACCACGTGTATCATCACCAAGCTGTGGATGGTGCAACGTATCGTGTAATGGATCAGCTATATCCAGACCAGGCACATTATAGTCTTCACAACAGCTCACTTTCAGAATTTGGTGAATATTTTTTTGAATAAATTGCTGAACTAGATCTAATTATTTTTCTTCTCAATATTATAGTAGCTCAGCATTTGTCTTAATTATTTTATTTTACAGGAGTACTGGGTTTTGAAGTAGGCTATTCTTACTCGAGCCCTTACCTTCTGACCATCTGGGAGGCGCAGTACGGCGACTTTGCAGACACAGCGCAGCCTGTGTTCGACACCTTTATACAAAACGGGGAGAGCAAGTGGGTGTGTCAGTCTGGCATTGTAGTGCAACTGCCTCATGGAATTGATGGCGCTGTTAGTATAATCAATAGATGTTTTTAGTTACTGTTTCTTCAACTAAAAAGGTACACGAGTTCTTCAGTTTTTCTATAGAATGTTTACTTCTATTAAAGTTAGATGCAACATTTTAGGGCCCGGAGCACTCATCGGGAAGAGTAGAGCGGTACTTGCAGGCAGCTGATGATGACGAAGACATTATTCCTGACCTTGATGACAAGGATATGGCATGTAAGTGACCTAATGCACGTCTGTTATTTTATCAATTGTCTTTATTTTCCTCCACAACTAGTAGGTAATCGTCTTATAAATATTTATTCCAAACTACATAGTACGATCAAAAAAAAATTTTTTTTTTCAGTAAAACAACTCCGCGCCGCCAACTGGATCGTGGCGAATGTGACAACGCCGGCAAACTATTTCCACTTGATACGGCGGCAGGTGGCGCTGCCGTTCCGCAAGCCGCTCATCCTCATGACGCCGAAGGTCGGCCTCAAACATCCTTACTACAGGTCCAAGTTCGCGGATTTCAAGCCGGGGACGTCATTCCAGAGGTAAAAAATCAATAATTACCACTTGGTCTGCGATATAGTTTAGCACACTTCTTGCTATTTGCTTATAAACACCTATGTCATTAACATTATTATAGAATCAGCATTTGCCTAGGGAGTGTGCATGATCCAATTCTCGTAATAGCGTCACTTATCGGATGGTCTGTCGATCAAACATCATCTTTCTTAAAGTGAATAATTCTCTTTTACTTCAATTTACAGAGCAATACCAGAAATGGGACCTGCCTCCCAAAAACCTGAATGCGTGAAGAAGCTCATCTTCTGTTCGGGTAAAGTGGCTATCACGATAGACGAACTGCGCAAAGAGAAGAAAATGGAGGACAAGATCGCTATGTGCCGCATTGAACAGCTCTATCCGTTCCCGTATGATGTGGTTCTGCGGGAGTTTTGCAAGTACGAACAGGCTAAGGTGTTCTTTTGCCAGGAGGAGCACAAGAATCAGGGCCCGTGGGTATTCTGTCGCTTGAGATTGGAAAACTTATTTGGGAAAAAAATTGGGTTAGTTTTTCATCGAAATGTGCTATTAGTAGTCATAATATTAAACAAACTAAAAAATACCTTTATAAAATACTTTATATTGGTTTCAGGTGTATTACTCGACCCTCCAGCCCTGCTTCGGCTACTGGAATCAAGTGGATACACGCAAAAGAACTGAAGGAGCTCAAAGAAAAAATTATTCAAATATAGTTAATTTAATAAAATTATAAAAATGTACAAGTCTTGTCAATAAATCACCAAGTGGAATTTGTAACATTTTGCATTTTATTTCACTTTTCCTTTGAAACAGTCTCCTCGCGGGTTGATTTAAAAATATTTCACTTATAGGTAAGATATATACCTATTTAGTCATCATCATCATAATTATTAATTTCAGCCACAGGACGTCCACTGCTGAAACTATTTAGTGCGCCGTGTTAATTGTATTGTTGACTTAATGCAATGTGGCATTTTCTCCCAGTCAACCTTATTAATGTGTATACTGTATTTGAATAGGAGGTGTTTAGAAAATCAAGCGCATCTTTGACTTCAAACTTATGTTGGTGATTTTCACGTTGTAGGTACTTATTTTGAAATGTCCTGAAAAAATCTGTAGGTATTGTGGTCACCTTGCTGAGTATGTACGAATAAATTCGGACTACAGTTAGTGGAATTCGGACCGGTTTTATAGAAATGTCAATGTCAAAAACATATGGTTCACTTCACTTCATTGCGTACCTGTCAGTCAATCGTTTGAAAACAAACATCGAAAAAGTGTTTTAGACTATACTGAATCATGTCTTACTTCGACTTTTTTTGTAATAATATTGAAAATAGTAAACCAGATAACTCAGAAAAAATCAAAGGAACTTGCTACTCCATGTGTCCGCAAGCTGAAGTAACTTTGTAAGTTTGCAACTTTTCCTAACCTACATTTTGTGAAACTACTTAAAATGTTTATAAAAAATTTGCTCTATTATCTTGTATTTTGTAGACGCGAAAGAGAAAAGCTAGTTCACGTGTTGGAAGTGGTTGGCGACTCTCGAAAACTGGTAAAATGCTACAGTCGGTCAGCGGCAGATTCTAACATGGCAGTACCGCATTTATTGCGCCCTTACAGTGTGCTAAAGGATACTGTGCAATATTTATTGCGTGAGTAAGTAGCAGATTAAAGAATACATTAAATTACTAGTCAAGATTTAATTTACTATTGTTTATTATCATTGGAAAATTTGTGTCTTGTTTATATTATTTAGAGATTCCAATATTTCAGTGTAATAAAACGCAAAGGTATATCTTCACTGGTGATGTACGACTTCCTGAATGACCGTCTGAGAGCTGTTCGACAAGATATAACTATACAAAGGTTACCAGCAGCTGAATGTGCCTGCCTCCTAGAACCTATGGTCAGGTTTTATGTGTATTTTGGATACAAGTGAGTTTGCATTCTACTTCTCAAGATAATTTTGATCATTAAAATAAATTGAGAGTATTTTCAGCGAGAATAATATCTACAAATAGCTTGATTCAACTCTATAATATTTTTTCAGGTTTATCAATCTCAAGCCTGGAGATTTTGACCAAGTGCTCAATAAGAAATACCTTTTGGAAAGCCTGAAATGGTTCCTGTACTGTTGTGATGTCATAGACCAAACATCCAAAGTTGAAGAAGATTCACTCAACAGTTTCATGTCAAAACTAGACATAAACAAACAAAGCCCAGTCTATGACAGGGTATTGATGGAAAGTCTGTACATTTTGTGCAATTTGGATGATATTCATCCACTCTTGAGATACATAGGGCTCCCTAAAGAACTGAAAAGGTAATGGGCATCAGTCATCAATAAAGTTTCTATGTATCTTAAAATTTCATTGAACATTTTCTGTTTCAGGAATCCTACTTTAGAATTAGCTTATAAAACAGCAATTGCTAACTGGAATGGAAACTACATGTTTGTATGTAGTATGATTGAGAAACTATGCCCACTGTCTTTCTGTGCATTGAGCTCTTATCTTCCAAGCATACAAAGGTAACATTCTGAACCCTGTTAATTTCTAACTTATGTATGACAACAACACAGCATTGTTGCATTAACTTATGTAGCTGTAATATGTGGTTTTACAACAAAAGTGTATATTCAAATGGGCTGTCACAGTACATGATCCTACTGTTCTATTTAATCAATGACCCCTACTGTAACTGTACTGTACTTCTCCCTCCACAAGAACCTAGGTATAGATGACCCACGCTGAACTGTCCCACCAAACTCAATTACAGGGGAGGGCTACCATCGTTCAACTATATGGTTTCCAACATGGCAGAAATCGGAACCAGCGATCCGGTATTGACGGTGGCGCCCCACTGTCAATGTCATGGATAGGACAGTTCAGTATTTTGGAACTATATGTACTCAATTATGCTCTATGCCTGTAATTATTACTTTTTTACCAGGCTTGGCCTGCGAGTGATGAGCCATGCCTACAGCAGTAAACAGCTCACGGTGCCCGCGTCAATAGTGCGGCGCTGGCTGTATTTCACCAGCGACCACGAAGCCTTGTCTGTCTGCAGACACTACGGCCTGAAGACCGAGGAGACCCGCGTGAGGTTCAACAAAATGGACTTTAGGACTGATGTGACTTTGGTAAATTTCCAACCTAACACCGTTTTTATTGCTTGCCAGTTACTGTTGTTGTAGATTATGTAGATGTTTCATAGTGTTTTGCATCCTTGATTCTTGCTTTGCCTGCCTAATAGCAGTGGATTGTATCTAAAAATATGCGACGTAAGGCAACAATAAAGGCGTACACAGTAAAAAAAAATCAACGTGACGTGGCAGTCTGTATAAATAACGTACAAAAGACTGATCTGGGGAAGAAAAACAAAAAAATGCACATACCTTTAGCGCCTGGTGACATGTTACCAACAATGCGCAAGAGCACATAGGCGGCCACGGTCAGATGTAAAATACATTACATAGCCCTCTTTTTCAGTACACAATAATCACAAGACACACAAGTTCGATGGATATCAATAGCAATATTACACAAATAACACAAAATATAGTGAAACACAAATAATTTACGGGAGCGGTACCGATACTACCCTCAACTCTGCTTTGCCACCGAAAAACTTAACCACAGATTAACGGAAGAACAGCGACATCTGGCGTCACTGCAAAGCCACTTGTGGCGCCGCCATGTCGATAGGAACAGGAACTCTTTTTATGGATAGGAACAGGATGAGGAAATTCATTCTGTTCACGGATTACAGAATCGAATCAAAATAAATACTTACTTATAAATCGTTCATGTTAGGTATTGGATTGGCGCAAGTGCGCAACCAGTTCACTTATTTGTTTTGCAAAACTATTAAAAATTGTTTAGGTTTTTTTGATATAGTATAAGAACGAAGCCTTCTTTTGTTTGTTTCAGCACCAACTGGAAAAGCATTTACTTCACAATGAGAAACTTAATCTTCATAACATGGAAGAAATCTTTATCACTTGCCAATAAGATTTAAATTTTTTATATTAATATAATAATTCATAGTTGATTATTTTTATTACCTAATTATGTGCAATTCTGATCTCATTTGTGTTAATTAATGTTAGTGTAATTAAGGTTCCTAATTAATATAATTTTATATTGAAATAAAAAAACGAATTTATAAAGGAATCCTTTATTTGTTTATTTACATAAGAAAATTCTCCTAATTATGCGATAACTAATTACAATGGACAACAAAAACTATCTAATATCAAACAGTTGTATGGCGCCCAGCTTCAATTGAAGTTCATTGCCACTGTGCCATGCGGACTGATGTACGTTGCGTATAAAATAACATCGCGTCACAGTTGCCACTAAAAAATTCTTTGTTACTCGAGAATACATAACAATATGTAAAGTGAGAAGCTGAGTCATCTAATTTTATGATAAAGTTGGCGACTTGTATTGCACGTTTGGATTGCTAGAGGAACATTGATGGGCCCTAGAATACCAAATAAATTTTCGAGACCAACTGCAATAAAATGGCATAAATTATCCCAATTTATTATCTAATTTAGGCATCTTGAACCTTGATAGAATAAAGGTAACATGCAATATCAAGTCGCACAACTCTGAAATGTAATGCACAATAATAAATTAAAACTTAGCGAGTTCAACTACACCCCTGCCGACTGTGAGTGTACGTCTGTAGATGAAGGTTAGTACATGAGCTTTCAAGACGAGGTTAGAAAAACAAACAGTATCACAGTTAACTTTCTCTTCCTAGTTTTTTTTGTCCCTGGACGAATAGAATGAGTGTGAATGTAAACTCACAGCCGACAGTGCATTTGGTAACTAAAGAGACAGTAACTTCTGTAGCCCAAGTTTGCTAAAATGCACATTTACCCTAAAATAAATAACCAATATTTGTATTAGAAAACAAGCAGAAACAGCCATGAATACAAATACTGAATGAATAACGCAGGATTAGAAAGTACATCGAACAATTTATAAAGATAACTCCATTACTTTAACAATTTCTATACATCTCCGTATCTAAGAACGAGTTCCAATGTTTGTTCATGAATTTTGCCGTTTTTATACATCCCATTGGTAGCACCACGTTTGTAAAAAGAAGGTAAACATTTTCAAAATTAAAATAAAACAGGAACATTTAATCCATAAAGAAGCAGTAAATTATAATGTCAGACAGTTAATAAGATTTTAGTCGATTCTACTCGTGATTTCATCATTATAGAATACATAAAAAAAGTGATAAATAACTTTAAAACAACAACAACAAAGTACTAATTTACAGGAGGTATATCAACGACTGTACAAGGTCTATACATAATGTTTACCTTCGAAGCTGGCCTCGGCGGGATGTCCCGCGGACTGTCATGTCGCTCAGGAGGCGAGTGGAACGTTTCACTTAAAAATAAAGTACTTCGGCGCCGCCCGTCACTTCCGATACATGTAAGTGTAAAGCGGCAGGGGGCTTTCTTGAACTGAGCTAAAGCCCATTCATTCTTAAAGAACAAATTTGTGAGTAGCGATCTGTATATGAATGAATCGACTTTAGGCCGTGTGAAGCGGCCCACCGCCGCGTCTCTAAGTCCCAATATAGATACAACGATACAATAATAGCTGGCGTATGCCTATGTTCTATTCCAACAGACGGGCGCGCCCGCAAAGGGCCGGCTTCGGACTTCGAAGTTTCGCGTCATTGTATGAAGTAACCGTTGCAAATATTGCTGTGGACAATGAAACAAAAAATATATTTTCACGTTAGTGTCCTCAGTTTATTAATTTATAACTGTTCTGCTACCGTTTTTGCGTTCACTAGTCGGCGCCACTGGCGAGGGAAGAAGGAAGAAACCTAGTCAGCAATTACTGGTGAGCGCAAATACCGTAACCCTTGTTATGTCTTGGTAGACTTCTTGTAACTTTATGGGTTTATCCTTCATCCGGATAGAGTTGAAATACAGCGAGCCAGTCAGATACAAAAGACTCTGCGAGTGGAGACACGGCCCATGCAAACCGCGTTTTTTAGGGACCGTCTCATTGTAAGTTGGGTTACGTTAAGGCACAGAATAATAATAAGTACTACGTACAGAAGTTTTACTTCGCGAAGGTATTTAAAAAAATGTATGCTCAATGTCATTAACAATATGGTGTAATTTAGCCTGTCTCAAGAGTCAAGCACCATTTTGTTGACAAACGTCAGTGATCGGCAATGCACCGAAGCTATAGTTCCAAAATACTGGACTGTCCTGTCGATGACATTGACAGTGGGGCGCCACCGTCAATACCGGATCGCTGGTTCAGATTTTTGCCATGTTGGAAACCATATAGTGGAACGATGGTAGCGCCCCCCTGTCATTGAGTTTGGCGGGACAGTTCAGCGTGGGTCATCTATATAGGGCTGACTTCGGTAAAATGATGTGACGTGAGGTGCCAAACTGCGGAAAATGGCGGAGTAAATACATGATTTAGCATGAATTATCATGAATAATATTAACTACTTATTTACCTCAACCTCTCAGTGTCTTGAGGCAACTTAAAAAAGTACATTCTGTGTTTTTATTATTATTTAGGCAGTTAAATACTGCACAGTATTTAGTACACCATTTTCTTTATTTTCTTCCATCATACACAAGAATACGCGTGCGTGAGTCAATGTTCGATCGTATGTGAGGCCTTGTCGAATATTATCCTGTAGGTGGGCCATCGTGTGTGTTTTGTTTTCGATGTAAACTCGCGGAGATGAACAGGCCTGGTTAAGGCTCCATGCCCACGGCGACTTTTTGTAGTAAATGACGCGCGTTGGTCGCATTTGTAACGCGCTACAAATGTGATGCCAACGCGCTACAGCATCGCGACAGTATCGATGAAAACGCGCGACCGTGTCGGATGATATCGGGGAGAGAACGGACATACAGCTAGCGGCCGCATGGCGACTGTATCGATGCGAACGCGTAACAGAATCACTACTGCATCTTGGCTACAAAAAGTGCTGTGGGCGAGGGGCCTAAGGCGATTATCACACTGCACCGAGCTGAATTGCGACAGATTTAATAATTGTATGCAAATACCTCAGTTTGTATAGAAAACACGCGCACAACACACTGAAAACGCGTCTGCGCGCGGGATTCTTTATATGTAGCCACGCGGACCGCGGCGGAGCGCGGTGCAGTGTGATAATCGTCTAAGTCTCGGTCACCTCTGGCTAGTTGTGCTTGAGGAAGGAGTCGTCGAAGAGCTCGAGCTCGTGCGAGAGGTAGTTGGCCTTGTTGCGCAGCTTCTTGGCGGACGTGGACGCGGCCTCCAGCAGCTTGATGGCGTCCTTCACCTCGCTCAGCTCGCCGTCCATCTCCGTCGTCGCCTCGTCGATCAGCCGGCACAGACGCGCGAACATCGTCGACAGCTCCCTGGGAAGGTACAAAATAGAATGGAGTACTTGTCTACTCACGGACATTGCCCGCGGGCGGCGTGACCGGAGGGAGCGGCGAGCGTTCGGCGAACGAACGAGCAATGTTCGGTTCGCGAGCGAACATCGAAGAAGACGATCCTGACGCACTCTCTTCAACGACTTTGGACTAAACGGTCTCAATATCATTGTTAATTTGTACCGAATAGACAATTAATTGTATACAGTCCACTCTTTCATTTTATTAACTTCCACTATACTCACTATCGAAGTAACAGTACTTGTCAAAACAAAGCCAAGTGCTTACTAAGTTAGCGGCACGGGAGGGTGTTTTTGTGCCGTCAAACATCAGCGAAACTTCAGATTTCGTTCAGATTTGTATGTTCTGTAACATCATAATCCCTGATCTCATTTCTTTTTGTATTTTGTAGACAGCAGTTATGTATCTAGAAAACTGGACCGAAATTGAAAAATTTTACTCGACTTGGCGGTTGCACTACCGTGCCTCCAAATATTTTAGTTTTTCCTTGATTCATACACCAAACACTACTTATATTCCAAATTTGAAGCTTCTAGGTCTGCTAGAAGTGCCTTAGAATTTTGATGATCGGTGAGTTAGTGAGTGACAAAATTAAGAAACTTTGACCCGTTATAATTCTTAAACTACTGGTTCAAATTGAATGAAATTTGAAATATACCGTGTCTTTACAATGCCTGCATAGCTAATGAAAATTCAGCCTTCTAGTTTTATCCACAACGAAGTTACAGGCGGTCGAAAATGGCCTGAATTGCTTCGAGAAAAGAAAAGATAATATGTCAATGCGTTCCGTTCCGCTCCCATACCTCAGGCACTGACTGTGTTAAGCGTCAGGCCCAGAACAGACGGTGAAATGCAACTGCAACGAAACTGCAACTTTATAATGATTCTGATGAATGCAACTGAAGTTGCAAACTGGTCGCGTCGTGTGTGGTCTCTCAACGGACGCTATGGCAGAAAGTTAGATGCAACTCAAAAGTAACTAGCAGTTGCAGTTTCGTTGCAGTTGCGTTTCACCGTCTGTTCTGGGTCTCAGACCTAAAAGTATTTGTGATCTTGAATGGAATTTTGATATAAATACCTACGAATGCAGCAGTTATTTTCTGAAACTGGTACAGTATGGACAACTCTCACTGCTACGCCTTATGTTTGCCAGTGTTTGAACGCAGTCGTATAGCCTAGGGATGTTATGGATATGTGATAGCGCGAATGCGAAATTATACACAAATAAAGAAATATAATAAGTAGTTATTTGTTATAATAATAATTAATTTATAATATTTTCTATTATTATATTAAATTCATTTACTGTAATTAATTATTCACAATATTGTTGATTTGTGAGTCTTAAAACACTACGTAATATTGTAAAGAGAAACAAAACGAGCGGCTTGCTGCAAAACAACACCTGCACTAAAACAAGTTTACGTTGCACGTGCAAGCCCCACCTTGGGGGAGACTCGTTGTAAAAGCGGCAAGCCGGCCGAATTGATTCATTCTTATTACGGACACCGAACTGTGAACATCTAATAAAAGTATCAAAATGAGTCATCGTTTTACTGGCGCCCTACGTCGTTCACGATCTCAGTCACCTTCAGATGGACTTCCATGTACAACCCTCACCAGCTCCATCTGGTTGGACGGATACCCGTCCAGCTCTAACATCAGAAGAGAGGAGTGAAGAACCTACTACCCGCCCATATGCTGAAGTAGGAAACCCTGACCGACGCACACCTGTTCTGATGAAAAATCCAAGTTCCAAGAACTGTAATCAATAAGTGTCACTTCTCCGGACACAAGTGGAATTGCCAGACTGCCGACATACGCAAGATTTTCAAGAGCTCTTCAGAGCGGTCTTCAGCAGTAATATTTCCTCGGGAACCTGACAGGTCTCATCCCTGGTGAAGAATTCACGCATCACAGCCACTCAAGTTCAAGAAAAGAAGATTTTTACCGATCGACCAGCAAGTTGGACTTTGGACCCGTCGACTGTTCAAGGCGAGGAAACGAACTTGGATCGGAAACCGGTTTGAGTATTTTGTGAGTTCGTTCCAATTTATTTCCTTTTCTTTTCGCTACAGAATTGCTAATATTAGTGCATAATTTTCATTTCCTTGCAATTTAATTCTTTTATTTTTTTATTTTATCATTACATAAAAAGTTTATGAACGTCAAAGTGCATCTTCTGAATAAAATACTAAATGTGGCCCAATCAAAGGAACATTAACGATTACCCAAAAAACGTAGCTGTTTAAAATCTAAATTAACCATTTTCAATAACTGGACTGAACTTAGTCAGGAACAATACCTGGAAGGGCGTTTAAACAAATTTGATGCCATATACCCTATTTTTGACGATTTACAGATTGACATCGAGATGCTTACGGACGATTCCGACGCTGAGATGAAGGAACACGAGCTGTTTGAAGACCAGTAGCACAAGCTGGCTGCGGCCGCGCGGGGCTTGCTCAGCGTGCCTCGCTGCCAGCAGCGGGATAACGGTTCCGTTTCGAGCAACAATGATGTTCAGCCACCACCAATTAATTTTAAAACTGTCAAAGCAAGACTGTTCCATAGATTTTGTATGGCAATATTAGACTGTAACGTCACTATTTTGTCCACTCAATCAAACATGTTTTGCAATTGCAATTCAACCCAAAATCTTACTTAATCTTATAATGCAACCTAAAAAACATACAGATAATTTAAGATTAGTTAAGTTTTTAAGACCAGAATTAAGTTTACCTACTTATTTTTTGAAAATGTTGAACTTTAGAATTGTTGATAAATGGTGTCAAATACCCAATTAGCAATTGACAATATCCATACAAAATGTCATTATCAGAATGACCGAACAGTCTTCTAAAGCATAAAAAACGTTTCGGTTCCTTTGCTAAAGTTATTTTACACAGTGGTCTGGTAATAATTTGAGTCCTAAATACTTAGAGCCGTATCAATCAAATCTTAAAAATTATGGACAATGATCGATATAAATAAATAAATAAATCATTTATTTTCTCAGAAACATGGTAACAAAATGGTCGATAGAAAATGTCAAATCCAACATGTTTTGTCCGGGAGAGGCATGCAACTTTTACAAAATTAGAATCTATTAATATTGCATAAATTTAGTCTTGGATACATTATTAAGAGGTTATTACAACTCAGCCATTTTGCAACTTTATCTACCCTATTATTAATGTCAAATTCAAAAATTAATAATGTCATTATAAGTGATAATAATCGAAATGTCATCAGTAAATAATATTGTTCGAAATTCAGTTACATTAGGCAGGTCATTGATGTAATTAGAAACAGAAGTGGCCCTAAAATGCTTCCTTGAGGTACACCGTATGAATTTATCTTTGGACATGACTTAAAGTATTTTAGTTTTTTAGATTTTTGATCGACTTTGAATATTACTATGGTACTTACGGTCGGTAACTACTTAACCATTGCAGTGCACGACTTCTCAGGCCATAAGACTCAACTTCCGCAGAAGTCTCTCATGGCAGACATAATCAAAGGCTTTGGTCATATCAAACAGTACCACCGCTACATGATCTTCTTTATCAATTGTTTCCGTAATAGTTTTGATCAAATTAAATGCAGCTAAGGTTGTTGATTTACCTTTTTGAAAATCATTTTGATTATCTTTTATAACGTGGTGCTTTTGCAAAAATACAAAGAATACGATGCCAAGTACAAAGTCTCCATATACTGTTATATCTCATGATCACGTTAGGATAGTACCGAATCCGAATCTTGAATGAGCCGTGATAGCAAAATAATAAAATGACCATCACAATAATTACTTGTCAAAACAAGCCACAGAATAGCCTCTGAGTTCAGCAGACATTCCTGGAGCGGGAATTTGTCAATCCAAGCCAAGGGCCTCTGAGTTTGACAAAAGTTCCGTATTCCTTAGTGCAGTTGAAACAAGCGATGTGTTTGGCCGCTGAGTTTGACAAACCTTTAGGATAGCAAATTACCTGTCAAAACAAGTCACGGAATAGCCTCTGAGTTCAACAGACACTCCTGGAACGGGAATTTGCCAATCCAAGCCAAGGGCCTCTGAGTTTGACAAAAGTTCCGTATTCCTTAGTGCAGTTGAAACAAGCGATGTGTTTGACCGCTGAGTTTGACAAACCTTTAGAATAGCCTCTGAGTTCAACAAACATTGCTGGAACGGGAATTTGCCAATCCAAGCCAAGAGCCTCTGAGTTTGACAAAAGTTCCGTTTTCCTTAGTGCAGTTGAAACAAGCTATAGCAAATTACCTGTTAAAACAAGTCACGGAATAGCCTCTGAGTTCAACAGACATTCCTGGAACGGGAATTTGCCAATCCAAGCCAAGGGCCTCTGAGTTTGACAAAAGTTCCGTATTCCTTAGTGCAGTTGAAACAAGCGATGTCTTTGACCGCTGAGTTTGACAAACCTTTAGTCAGAAAAAGCTTATGTTAAAACCTCTGAGTCTAGATAAAAATAAAAAATGTTGTCTTTTTAGATTAACGAGACCGCTAGCTCGAGCACGAGCTGCTTGTCAGCATGGCCGTGATAGCGCGAATGCGAAATTATACACAAATAAAGAAATATAATAAGTAGTTATTTGTTATAATAATAATTAATTTATAATATTTTCTATTATTATATTAAATTCATTTACTGTAATTAATTATTCACAATATTGTTGATTTGTGAGTCTTAAAACACTACGTAATATTGTAAAGAGAAACAAAACGAGCGGCTTGCTGCAAAACAACACCTGCACTAAAACAAGTTTACGTTGCACGTGCAAGCCCCACCTTGGGGGAGACTCGTTATAAAAGCGGCAAGCCGGCCGAATTGATTCATTCTTATTACGGACACCGAACTGTGAACATCTAATAAAAGTATCAAAATGAGTCATCGTTTTACTGGCGCCCTACGTCGTTCACGATCTCAGTCACCTTCAGATGGACTTCCATGTACAACCCTCACCAGCTCCATCTGGTTGGACGGATACCCGTCCAGCTCTAACATATGTAGTTTCAGTTATGGATACGGTTACGGATATGGGAATAATATTATACCGGTTTCGGTTACGGTTTTGGATATTTTTTTATTTCGGATATCCGAAAGTTTCGGTTACGGATATCCATAACATCCCTGGTATAGCCAACGCCTTCGCGGCGTCGACACTGCGCAGGGCTGGCGAGACGAGGACATTCGAAGCACGTCAGTGTGGACGACGCCTATCTCTGGCACGACCAGAGCCCCGATTACGGTAATTTTTAACGTCTCCAATCCAGACACGCTTCTCGATTCTGCGATACGATTGGTCGTTCAACAGCGTACGTCAGCTGTTTCGACCAATCGTATCGCAGAATCGATGAAGCGCGTCTGGATTGGAAACGTTAATTTACCGTAATCGGGGCTCAGCTGGGATACTCCATACAAATTATATTTATACTTACTATCACTTACTATCCACTTACATACAAATTATACAGGGTGTTTGGCGCATCGTGTGCCAAAATGATTTGGCGGATAGAATGGGTCATTTCCTATATTTTCAGCCCCCATAACACGTTCCATGTCAGGCGGCTACTTTTATATTAAGTTTTTTTAGTAATTTCACCAAAATACCCAAATCGCATCATTTAATTTCGATTAAAAAAAAACTACTAAGCGTAGCCTCAAAGTAAATATTTTGTTTTGACGTGCATTGACATAGGGTTGCATCAAATCTAAATTTACTGGCAAATATCATCTAGTTTTTTTTAATTCAGCTTTGAACTTTTCCGAAAAGTTAAAAATGGACTGAACATTTAAGTTTACAAGGCTATAATTTTTTTTTTAAAAGAGATAGCGATCTTCGGATTTTATCAAAACTTCTCTAGTCTATCCCCATTCAAACGGTATACTAATCTTGTTTAAATAATAACAACAACTTCACAAATTCCCTAAATTAGTGCATTGACTCTATTCGGACTGATTTGCGAAATTTGTGTTTATAGCCCCTTTTTGTGTGAATAACACGTTAAATACCTACAGGTAAAAAATATTTATCTTATGCAATGTAAAAAACCTTTTCTCTATCGTTTTTCAATGTAGATTTCTTGAAATTAAAGACGAAAATTGAAAAACGATAGAGAAAAGGTTTTTTACATTGCATAAGATAAATATTTTTTACCTGTAGGTATTTAACGTGTTATTCACACAAAAAGGGGCTATAAACACAAATTTCGCAAATCAGTCCGAATAGAGTCAATGCACTAATTTAGGGAATTTGTGAAGTTGTTGTTATTATTTAAACAAGATTAGTATACCGTTTGAATGGGGATAGACTAGAGAAGTTTTGATAAAATCCGAAGATCGCTATCTCTTTTAAAAAAAAATTTATAGCCATGTAAACTTAAATGTTCAGTCCATTTTTAACTTTTCGGAAAAGTTCAAAGCTGAATTAAAAAAAAACTAGATGATATTTGCCAGTAAATTTAGATTTGATGCAACCCTATGTCAATGCACGTCAAAACAAAATATTTACTTTGAGGCTACGCTTAGTAGTTTTTTTTTAAATCGAAATTAAATGATGCGATTTGGGTATTTTGGTGAAATTACTAAAAAACTTAATATAAAAGTAGCCGCCTGACATGGAACGTGTTATGGGGGCTGAAAATATAGGAAATGACCCATTCTATCCGCCAAATCATTTTGGCACACGATGCGCCAAACACCCTGTATTTATACTATAAATAAGTATAAATATAATTTGTATGTAAGTGGATTGTTTATGTATAATAATAATATGTATTTTGCTAATGATAGTTAATTAAAGTATAGTTAAGCCTTTATTTCGCCTGAGATACAGGAATAAATTTCCTAGTTCAGGCACATGGTATAATTTTACCTTTTGTAGCATAAGATTAGCCTAGAGTTTAAACTGTCAAATAAGTTATACAATAAAGAATTTACTCACTGCTGCACCTGGTGGCTGCAGTTGGCGGAGGTGAGGTCGACGATGAGGCGCAGCTTCTTGCTGGCGTGCGCCACGTACTGCTTCTTGAACACGCGCTCCTGCGCCGCCGCCGTCCACGTCAGCCGCTCGTACGCGTACAGCGCGCCGTACAGCACGCCCGTTACTGCTACTATGCGCCAGCCGACGGTTTTTAGGAGCTGTGGAAGTGAATTACAGGTAAGTATGAAATTCAGAAATGAGGAGATCCGCAGGAGAACCAAAGTAACATAGCAGAATTGCTAAAATCAAGTGGCAGTGGGCGGGGCACATAGCTCGTAGAGACGATGGCCGTTGGGGCAGGAAAGTTCTCGAGTGGCGACCACGGACTGGAAGACGTAGCGTGGGCAGGCTTCCTACTAGGTGGACCGACGATCTCGTAAAGGTCGCGGGAAGAGCCTGGATGCGGGCAGCGCAGGACCGTTCATTGTGGAAAACCTTGGGGGAGGCCTTTGTCCAGCAGTGGGCGTCATTTGGCTGAAACGAACGATGAAATTCGCATGCTTTGAGTTTGTACCCACTAACGAAGTGTCTTAACGCCCGTATTCACAAACATTACTATGAGGTCTCATAGTACGCGTGGACGCACCGTACAGCACGCCCGTTACTGCCACGATGCGCCAGCCGACGGTTTTTAGGAGCTGTGGAGGTGAATTATAAGTAAATATAATCTGAACGTTTGCGTGCTCTGGCGCACATTAACGAAGTATCCTAAGTCAGCGACAAGACATGTTCGACTGTCACCCAGCAATAAGGTTAGGACCAAAGAATATTTTTTTCTGCTTTAGGACTGATTTTCCAATCGTCAGATATCTTTTAACTGAAGAATATAATTTTGTCATATTTCCCAAACAAAACTGTCAATGTGCCAAACTTATTCTTCAGTTAAAAGTTATCCGACGATTAAAAATCAGCCCTTATTCAAGTAACGATAAACACAAAAGCTAAATCTAAACGTAAAGTGAAGGGCCAAAAATACTGTGAAATGTTTTAATGTTTACGGTTGTTCACTAATGAGAGGATCAGTTCGAGTTAACGCCCGTATTCACAAACGATACTTGCTTAAGTGAGGCAGCAAATCGAACGCACAGCGTTGCATAGAGCACTGTGACTGATTCGTGTGTCACCCTATGCGTCCACGCGCACTGTGAGACCTCATAGTAATGTTTGTGAATACGGGCGTAAGTTTACTCACCAAGCCAGAGAGCAATAAACCGCCCATGGTTCCCTGCGAGGTGAGCGCGCCGAGAGCGAACTTGGAGATGAAGCCCCACTCCTCGGCGCTGAGCGGGCCACTACTAGCGTCGGCAGCGGCGGGTTGCTCACAGACTGAGGGATCATTACGTGTACTCACCAAGCCAGAGAGCAATAAACCGCCCATGGTTCCCTGCGAGGTGAGCGCGCCGAGAGCGAACTTCGAGATGAAGCCCCACTCCTCGGCGCTGAGCGGGCCACTTCTGGTGTCGACAGCGGCGGGTTGCTCACAGACGGAGGGATCATTACGTGTACTCACCAAGCCGGAGAGCAATAAACCGCCCATGGTTCCCTGCGAGGTGAGCGCGCCGAGAGCGAACTTGGAGATGAAGCCCCACTCCTCAGCACTGAGCGGGCCCACGCCCAGCGGCCCATTGCTGCGGGCCACCTCGAGAGTCGGCAGCGGCGGGTTGCTCACTGAAGGAGGGATCTGGAAATGGAATAACAATAATAAAATATGAGCCTACAGTTTTTGTCGTACACAGCTGGAAAAATGGATCTTCTATAGGTTTCCACAGCGACAGGTCCTGTGCTCTATACATCTAGTTGTTTTCCGTGACATTCATCAGATCATTGGTCTACCCAACGGGAGGCCTACACACACTGTTTTCCGGTCGAGAATTTTTCTGCCTTAATGTCTATCAGTTCTATGGGCTAAGGGCCCGGTCACTGCATTGGGTAACTGCGGGCTATGTCGGTTACTTTAATTCAAGTATTATTACCTGTGTGTAGTTTGGTGGGTTCTTGAGAGCAATCTTGTTTGTGTTTTTACCCTGGAAGCGCTGGATTAGCGCCGTGATGCCGTACGAAAAGCGAAAACTGAGGTCCTCCTGGAAAAAAGTTATCGGGGATTAAATGACTTTCAGACGCTGTCAAAGATACTATAGGAGCGGGTGTGTGTGTGTAAATAGCCAGTGTGAGGAGGCGGAATGAAACAACCGTTTTCGAGTGCGTTCTAAATGCGACTGTCTATTGTATACCTTACATACCCCTACAATACCATTGTAAATAGTCCACTACAATAAGGACTCCACTAAAACGAGAGCGGGCACTCGCACGCGTATCTGTACAGAAAAGTAGTATAAGCACCGCATGCGCGTGACGTTTCCAAACACGTGGAGGCACGCCGCGGGCTTGGGTTTCTATGCGTATACCACAGTGTATAAGTGGACGCACACGCAAGTCTTAACATAGGCTCTACTAAGCCCGTGAAGTATCGTACCGGGATACGGTTATAGCTAAGGCGGCCAACCGTGCCGCATTCTGCGGGACCGTCCCGTAATGACAGTTGCAATTCCGCATTGCAATATTTAATAAAATAGTCCCGCAAATCGTCCGAGGCGTCCCGTATGTCCCGCATTCCTCGTTTCGCATCGTTTTGCTCGCATAAAAGTGTTCCACATCAAAATACAAATGACTTTTGCCTAGCCATCGTCCAGTACCTACTCTGTTTGCCAGGAACAAACGCTCCTACGAAACGAGTTTTTTCCTTAATGAACAGCTTATGGACATCCGAAAAGTCGTCACTAAAAGTAGAAACATTACGTACAATGCCAATTATAAAATTCAATATGGGCAGCTGTGAAAACTTTTTGGACATTCTGAACCAAAACCCAGACCTATTAAAAAAATGCTACTCATGTGAAAAATATGATTTTAAAAATAAATGTTAATTCGGTAGTAGTGTTGTTTGTTTCTAATTTAAGTACACCATTAACAATTCCAACAAATCCTAAGTCTTATTGTGGATAGGGGTGGGTGTCCCGCATTTACTTATTATAAAGTTGGCCGCCTTAGTTATAGCACCTCTCGTTCTCACTGTTCTTGTTCAGCCAGGATATTAAAACAGTTTATTTGAATAAATAAACACAAAGTACCTGGAAGTCAGCGCACAGGTTGTCGCAGTTGAGCCGGTAGAGCACCTCGAAGGGCTGCTGGTGCGGGATGATGTACGAAGCCGCGGCCGCGCGCTTGTGCATCGGCAGGATGTTGTACATACGCTCTGAAACCGGACAGTTTTATATTATGCACATAATCATAATCATTTATTCATTCATAAACATGGGTATTACAGGATGTCACATACAAAATATTCTTAGGTACAGCCACGATTCACCTTTATGGTATATGAATATAAAATTGTCAGTTTGAATATTATACTCTTAGAAATCAGGAGTGGAATTCTTTAAAAAAAAACAAAACTTACAAACCGTTATTTATTAATTTTACTTAAAACAAAAATCACAATTTACACAACCAAAAAATAACAATTTCCTTGATCAGAGAAACAGAATCAACTTATTTTACGTAACTTCTAGTATGCCTAACTATGAACTAAAACACTTCACCACCGATGTGCACGCTCCGAACGCTCGAAAAATAGTGAGCGCGCGGCGGCTTGGCACTCCTTTTATAAGCGGTCAGGCGGGTAGTTCGATCGCCTATAGGGGCGATTGCTTATACGGCCTCTCCTGACATAGTGTCGTCCTCGACACGAGCTTCATGTGTGACGGTTCGGCGCCGTCTAGATGTTCCAGTCTTCGTCCAGTAGGGGCATTGATGGTCCGGGCAAGCCGCTGGGGCCAGCAACGTCAACAGCTTCGAGGTCTGGGTCTGCGTCCAAGGAAGGCATGGACAGACCAACCCCTGAAGGTGGCGTGCCGTCCAGTAGCGGCATTGATGGTCCGGGTAAGCCGCTGGGACCAGCAATGTCAGCAGCTTCGAGGTCTGGGTCTGCATCCAAGGAAGGCATGGGCAGACCAGCCCTCGAAGACGACGTGCTAACCTGAGGCTCACTTTCTTCTAGGTTTTCGTCTGAAAGCGGGATTAGGTTAATAATAATCTAGTCTAGTCTAGATTTCACACATTCAGTCTTACACATCAATCTCTCATCATCTCTCAATCAATTCAAAATTCATCTATCACACATTCTTACACCTAATCACACATACATCACTCATTAAATAGTAACAGAGACGTCTCATAAAATGCATATCAAACCAATCCTAGGCCTTTACGGAACTTCAGTCAGATGACATCTGTAGCGTCGGTCGGTAAACCAACGCGCGGTGAACTGCTCTCATATGTTGCACTGCCTTGTGTGATGCAACATGTAGATACCTGAAACTGAATAGGTTGACGCCAAGGCGAAGTACGCCTGAAGTCTATTACGGAACGCCAAGGCTACGTGGCCTGAAGTTCCTCTAACGAACGCCAAGACAACGTGTCTGTAGTTCAACGAACGCCAAGACAACGTGTCTGAAGTTCAGCTATAGAACGCCAAGGCATCTCTGCCTGAAGTTCAGCTATAGAACGCCAAGGCATCTCTGCCTGAAGTTCAGCTATAGAACGCCAAGGCATCTCTGCCTGAAGTTCAGCTATAGAACGCCAAGGCATCTCTGCCTGAAGTTCAGCTATAGAACGCCAAGGCATCTCTGCCTGAAGTTCAGCTATAGAACGCCAAGGCATCTCTGCCTGAAGTTCAGCTATAGAACGCCAAGGCATCTCTGCCTGAAGTTCAGCTATAGAACGCCAAGGCATCTCTGCCTGAAGTTCAGCTATAGAACGCCAAGGCATCTCTGCCTGAAGTTCAGCTATAGAACGCCAAGGCATCTCTGCCTGAAGTTCAGCTATAGAACGCCAAGGCATCTCTGCCTGAAGTTCAGCTATAGAACGCCAAGGCATCTCTGCCTGAAGTTCAGCTATAGAACGCCAAGGCATCTCTGCCTGAAGTTCAGCTATAGAACGCCAAGGCATCTCTGCCTGAAGTTCAGCTATAGAACGCCAAGGCATCTCTGCCTGAAGTTCAGCTATAGAACGCCAAGGCATCTCTGCCTGAAGTTCAGCTATAGAACGCCAAGGCATCTCTGCCTGAAGTTCAGCTATAGAACGCCAAGGCATCTGCCTGAAGTTCCCATAACGGACGCCAAGGCTACCAGCCTGAAGTCCTGAACAATGAACGCCAAGGCTTTAGTAAGCCTGAAGTTCAAGTAAAAAGAAAAACTCGTACATACCCTCGAAAAAGGCTGCACATGACTCCGGGCACCACTCGCCGCGCCAGGGCACCATGTACTGTGCCGCTGCTTGCGTGGTCTTCCCATAACTGCCACTGAGCAACTTGAGCTCGTACCGTCCATTCGGTAAAACCTTCATGACTCGATAAGGGCCTCGCATCCCCGGATCGAGTTTTCCTGTGGACTGGGAGTACTTGATGACGAACACCAGGTCATCGAGTTTAAACTGGCGAGGTGGGCGCCTAAGTCGGTTAGCATATTCGTCTTGTCGTTGTTTATTGGCAGCCATCAGCTCGCTAGCCCGGCTCCGGCAAAGCTCACGCCACGCTTCTCTGTTAGGGTTTGTACCCTCAACAGCAACATCACGAACCAGGTTTTGGATAAGTGGCGTGGTTCCATCGGTGCCAATCATCAAGTTTAAGGGTGAAGCCTGGGTAGTTTTCTGCTTGGTAATGTTGACAACCAATTGCAGCTTCCACAATGTTTCGGACCAGGAGGAGGCTTTGTGGTTCACCTCAATCCGCAGCATGTTAAGAATGGTGCGGATGTATCGTTCCGCCTGACCGTTCGCGTGGTGCATTTCCGGTGTAATGTAGTGCAAATCACTCCCTAACTCAGTTATCCAGGTCACAAATTCTCCGGACTCAAACATTCGTCCCCTATCGGTAACAATCAACTTTGGGACTCCAAATAACGATACCGCTTGCATAAAAGCCCGTTTAAGCTCACCGACGTCTTGGCGGTAGATTGGGTATAACAGGCAAAATTTAGTGGAGGCATCCACTATAACCAAAATGAACTTGTACCCATTAGACACAGGGAGAGGACCCAAAGCGTCCACGTGAATCGTATGGAAAGGGGAATCGGGTTTTTCCCAAGACGTTATGCTCTGATTTGGGGATCTCGGTACTCGTTTCTTGGAGATGCACACTAAACAGTGCGCCACGTATTTGTTTACGAACTGTCGGAGTCCCGGGAACCAGAAATGTTTAAGGATCAAGTCGAGAGTTTTGTCGGCATTAATATGCCCGTGTTCGTCGTGAAATATTCTTAAAAGACTGAGCCTGTGCCCCTTGGGAATATAACATAGCAGACGAGCATCTTCGCCAACAGGAGAGTATTTGTAATACAAAAGGTCATTTTGCGTAACGTAACGTGTCGAGTCTAATTCGCCATCCCGCAACTGTTGTATCAACCCCTGTGTCTCATTATCCGCGGATTGTGCTATCTGGGCCCAATTACGCGGTCTTGAGACTTGGTTTGCTACAACAACTGAGGGGTTGCGGCTGAGGTAGTCGGCGTGTGGCATCATAATTCCCTTTCGATAGTCGATTGAGAAATTAAAATCTTGGAGGTAAATCCACCAACGCGCGACACGTGGCAGCAAGTCCTTTTTGCGCTCGGTGGCCTTCAAGGCATTACAGTCGGTAACTACTTTAAACTTTAGACCCACGAGGTAGTGTCGGAAGTGCTGCAGTGCCTTGACGACCGCCAGCGTTTCTAACTCGTATGAGTGGTATTTACTCTCGGCACCTTGAGTTGCCTTACTGAAGTATGCTACCACGTGCTTGCTACCGTCGCTGTGTGTTTGTAACAGGACCGCGCCATACCCGACGCTGCTCGCGTCCGTATGGACTTCAGTTGGTAACTGAGGATCGAAGACTGCAAGGACAGGTTTGTTAGTAAGGATGGTAATCAACGTCTGACGGACATTTTCCTGATCTGGGCCCCACTTAAACTCGACATCTTTTTTGGTCAAACGGGCAACACATGCAGTTAGTGAGGCATAGTTTTTAATGTAACGACGGAAGTACCCTGCGAGCCCCAGAAACTGGCGTACTTGTCGTACGTTTTGAGGAACAGGCGAGTTCGCAAGGGCCTCGACCTTTCGTGGACTCGGCCTAACCTGACCCTGACTCACTACTCTCCCAAGATATTCGACCTCTGTTGCCAGAAACGTACACTTCCGCAGATTTATGGAAAATCCAGCGGCAGTGAGCGTCTGCAGAACCTCTTTCAGAAGAGAAATACCCTCGGAGACGGTGGAGCTCATAATCAGTACGTCATCAACATAGACTAGCACTTGACCTGCCTCCACAAAGCGTTGCAAGGTCTTGTTGATGATGCGTTGATACACAATAGGTGAGTTCGTCAATCCGTAAGGCATTTTGACATATTCATAGTGCCCTTCCGGCGTAACGAACCCAGTGAGATGGATTGACTGCTCATTTATCGGTATCTGGTGAAAACCGGTGGCCATGTCTAGGCTGGTGAAGTATTTATAGTTCCCCAGCCGATCAATATGGTCATCGATCAGGGGTAGAGGATACCGATCCTTGAGCGTCAATCGATTCAATGCCCTGAAGTCAACGCACAGACGGTCCGAACCATCCTTTTTCTTTACGAGTATGATCGGACTCGCATACTCAGATTTGGATTCTCTGATGATTCCTTTGTCCAAGAGATCGTCAATTATTTGGCGAACTCGAAGCTTTTCATCGTAGGAAAGTTTATAAGGTCGGTAGACAACCGGCGCGGAGCTTGTCAATTTTATTTCCATCTCACCCGTATTGACCGTGGTGGTGGCGGTACCAGCGATGAAAAACTCCGAGAACTCTCTTATTACTCCCATTAAGGAGTCGTAATCGTTTCCCGTGAGCGGCGTGTTAACTTCGGGAGATGGTTGACTCTGAACCGCGTTAACTTGGACTGAGGAGTCGTCAGACCTTGCCAAAAACTGTCTGTCTTTCGTGCGAATATACACGATGCCGTCACGATTAAGTATATCCGTTCCTACAATTATGGGCGCGTTCATGCATGAAGAAGGAACTACGATTAAGTCTGCTTCGATTGAGACTTGACTAAACTCAAGAGTAACGGTCACGTACGAGTTAGCTATTATCTCCTTGTCACTGACACCTTTTAAAACGCAATGAGTAGGTTTGGGTTGGCAGGAAAGGTATCTCAACACGTCGGATGAAATTAGTGACACGTTAAGCGCACCACTATCAATAATGGTATCCATGGGTATGCCATCGACCACAGCCACGACAACATCACTGGTACTTGAACATTTCAAATCGTTCTCCGCACAAAGGTTGACATTTCGTTCATTTCGTGGTTGAGAACGATTTTTGGCAAAACAACTGTCCTCGAGGTGACCTGACTTCTTACAAAAAGTACAAGTGATGCCGCCAGCAGCGGCCGAAGTGGAGGGCCTCTCCGTATTACGTTTCGCGTGACAGTGACGGCTGATATGACCCTTCCGGCCACATGTAAAGCACTTTTGCTCGTTTCGATTTAGAATAGGTTGGGATTGGCGCTTGCTTGACGTAGAAGCTTGAGCTTCAGGCCTAGTTCGAGTCGGTTTGGTGTAAATTGACAAAAACGATACTATTGTCTCAGGGTTCAAGTTAGCGTTTGCCGCGGCTGCTCTTATTTGGGGGTTATCAATACCACGAATCACTATCAAGGTCATAAGGTCATCACTTAAACCGTTAACTATCCGTAAACGCAATATCGTACGGCGCGCGTATTCTGCGTAAGTTACGTATCTATCCGACGTTGTATTCATCGCCTCAAACAGTATATTGGCGTAGTCCAATTTACGTGGACATAACGGCTTAAATTCGCGCTTAAAATGTGTCCAGGTGCGCTCAGTGGTGACCCACTCGTTTAACCAAATCTTTGCGTCACCCTTGAGGCACGATCCAACACGCGAAAGACACTCGTGATCGCTCCAACCATTAGTCTCCTGGGCACGATCAACCTCTTCGCACCACACATCTATGTTGTGAATAGAGGGATCAAAATTTGAAATAAAATAGTTTTGTTGAGATCGTACTGGTTGCAGCGATCTAAGAGCATCAACAAGAGCCTTGGTTGGGTCGGTCATGCTCGATTCTAATTGATTTACTTGTGGTGTCGAAGTATTTGGCAAACTGTTAGTTGTTCGTGTCTCATGGGTACGTACCTCAGGATCCGGTGTGCAGCACCTCGTCACATTTAATTGGGACGTATTCAACTCGCCCTCGACGGTATTGCTCGTGTTACGGGGATCACAACGCACTATCGTATCACCGGAGATGTCGGTAACGCGACTATTTTCGATTGAAGTTAAACGGTTCATTATTGAATTCAACGTGTTGTGAATCGAAACGTCCGTAACATTTTGCCTATTAGCGGAGCGGGACCTATCATCGCGACGATGACCACGACGTGACCGATCACGTCTTTCATCACGATCACGACTTTTACTGCGTGTCCTGGTACGACGCCGTGATCGTCGTTTTGGCGTTCTCAAACGACTGCGTGAGCGGTATCGCGACCTATCACTAGAGCGACTACGAGAACGGTGTCGCGATCTACGACTGGATCCGCCAGCCATAACCAAAACACACGAAAACTAACCCGTGCACTAGATTCTGTTCCTCTTTTCGTGGGCTTGAGGTTTTATTATCCCACTTCTGATCTTAGAAATCAGGAGTGGAATTCTTTAAAAAAAAACAAAACTTACAAACCGTTATTTATTAATTTTACTTAAAACAAAAATCACAATTTACACAACCAAAAAATAACAATTTCCTTGATCAGAGAAACAGAATCAACTTATTTTACGTAACGCCTAGTATGCCTAACTATGAACTAAAACACTTCACCACCGATGTGCACGCTCCGAACGCTCGAAAAATAGTGAGCGCGCGGCGGCTTGGCACTCCTTTTATAAGCGGTCAGGCGGGTAGTTCGATCGCCTATAGGGGCGATTGCTTATACTATAGTTATTTTGTTCTTGTAGTCTTAAGTATATGGGGGTGGGATGTTATGTATGTAGGTATACTTCGCACCGCTGCGACGGTGCCCGTTGACGTTTGAAATAAACCAGTGTGAAACTAGCTACCGTGTTGTTCGTACGCGCGCCCTTCCTTCGCCTTCCTTACGAATCTAACATCTACATACTAACACTAATCGCAGCCCCTCCCCCAGTATTTTATGGCAAATTCTCGATTTGACAGCTTATGAATATAATTTCATGGTCTACCTCTCCCCAGATGCCTTTATCTTCGAGTAACGTGTAGTTAAACTAAACTAAATTTCAGGTGGTAGCCCCAAACGGTCCGTCGTCGCGCTCCGGCCACCGCATGGCGCTGATAGGGCGTGCCCTTATAGTGTTCGGCGGTTACAACGACGATGGACGCGAATGCCGCTACTTCGACGACTTATATGCGTTCTGTCTGGACACAAGAGTATGGAGCCGTGTCAATGTGGCCGGCAGAGGGCCGTGCGCGCGCTCGGCGTGTCTCATGCTGCCTGGCGCTGATAGTGTGAGTATGATACATTACTAAAGCCTGGTCGCCGAGCACGTAGAATTTCGTCCAATGACCCCAAGCATTACTAAAGTCCGGTCGCCGAGCGCGTAGAATTTCGTCCAATGACCCAAGCTACCCATCCTTATCGCTCGCGCGTAATCATATTTCTGTCGCGCTCGCACACTCACTGCGGCCGCCCGTCGCACATTCGCGGCAGCAATATAATTNTTATAATACAAATTTCTTACAGGAAAAAAACAATGTTTTACATCTTGTCATCAAAAAATGTTCTAATGTCATAGTATACATTTTCAGTGAGGAAGCCATTGAGCGCAATTTTAAACCTTTTAATATCATTAATTGACCTGATATACAATGGGATTTTATTATTAATTTTTGGTGCCATGCAGTTTACACTCATTCTTCGGAGAAGGGTTTTGCATTGATGAGTAAATTTCACAGTATGATTTAAAAAAACACCACAGATTCCGTAAAATCATTTGTGCATCGGCAGGATGTTGTACATGCGCTCTGAAACCAGACAGCTTTATTTTAGGCACGACAAGACATAAAAAGAAATAATTTTTCGCCACAGATTCCACGAAATAATTTGATTTCAAGCGAGGGAGAAGAATAGTAAAGAAATGTTACGAAGCCTGTGAAAGTCGTAATCCCTGTGTAGTCAATGTGGAGGTCCCGCTTTGTGGCGTTCTTTGGGCTTATGTTAAATTACTGGACTTCAATTAGCACTTATCTCGCCAATGACGAGAAAGCGACTAATTATTATCAACTATTTTTTCTAGCTCATGTCAAGTTGTCAAATCAAACAATAAGTATAAGCGACAGCGCACACTGGGCGACAATCGCGGCGACCAGGCGTAGGCGTCTAAAGGCTCGCCAAATACATAGAATGCCTATCTATCGCCGCTTTATAGTGTTAATAGAGTTGCAGAGCGTTGCCTTCTGCTAGCGCCGGCTAACAACACAATGAGGGCTATCGTTTTTATACTTAACAGTTGGCACCCCTGGCGATTGATAGGACCTTACTCTACAGTGGCGCCATCTTGATGAGTGCAAATGCGATAGTCCTCCTACCACTTTGGCGCTCGCCAGTTGGTGCCACTGTCTTCGCTACTAGCAAGTGACAGGACCTTACTCTACAGTGGCGCTAACTGGTGAGCGCTAAAACGATAGCCCTCATTCGTCAATATACCGCGTCTTGTACGCCTCGAGCGCCGCGCGCTCGCTGCGGAACTGTCGAGTACTAGTCCACTAGCGCGGTACTACAGTAGCGCGACATACCAGCCATCTCCTTCNTGTATATCTATATCTGTGATCAATCCCAAATTTTTAAGCGACCCATATGAAAACAAAATTCCTATTATGTGTTACCATATGCGTCACTTATAAATTAAAATTGATGGTGAAAACGGGCATTAGTCTCAAATACAGAAAATCCGATCCTCTAGTCCACTGAAGTCTGCACTCGCTACACTGGCCAGACAAACTGTCGCCCATAGACACCCGTAGTCACATGACAAGAACATTTTTTTTCTTTCATTTGCCTTCTATTAGTAGTACACTTATTTGCATGCCGTGGCAGCCTTTAAGTAAGGCAACACCACATAATGTTTGATGTATTAAGGTTATATTAGATAAGGTGTATGCTTTGTTGGCTGTCCTTAAAATAAATAAATAAATAAACAAACAACATAACTCACCCATATGCAACGCCTTGGGCACGGCACACAAAGCAAGGGTGCGCGCGCTACGCGGCGCCAGCACTCGGCAGCAAAGTGCTCGAGCGCCTACACTCCACACCGCTAAGAAAAACATTTGTTTTTACACACGGTCGCAAGGTTTTATTGAAATAAAGAAAAGTTAGTTTTTATTATCTTAATAGATCGCATTAAACGTTGCACAAAATAATGCAGGAAACCCTTTTAAATAAGTCAGCTAATGCTTTGAATTCGACACAATCATCATCAACATCAACAACATAAGGAGACATGTAAAGTGCCCCATAAGGGCTACCTTTTTCTTTTTTTATTATTTTCTATTGACGTTCATAAGTGCCACTTGTGGTCTAAACTGAATAAATATTTTTGATTTTGATTTTGATTTTGATCACGCTAGGATCTGATAGTCCAGTATTCATCATCATCATTTTAGTCACAGGACGTCCACTGCTGAACATAGGCCTCCTCCCCCAATGATTTCCACATCGCCCGGTAGTCTATCTTTATAATCACCCAAAAGATCACATGCAATTAATTGGTTTTACACTCTACACTCTTTACACTCGAAACTTACCTATAACGAGGGTAGTCAGCACGTCTCCCACGTACAAGCTACCCTCCGCCTCCCTCAATCTCTCGCAACAGTCCACATAAAGCAGCGCTAACGCCGACACCCGCTCTATCGTCCTCGGGCACTGTAACTCGCGCGCTTTCGCATCTCTCTCATCCCCGCTCTGGGAAGCTGTTGTGACATCTTTAACGCTATCATGCGAGCGTCGGAAGCGGGAATGTATGGCGCCCGCTGTGAGAGGGGGCAGCGTGCACAGGGCGGACCACAGGGACGGCCCTAGCGCCGGGATGGGGGCGCGCCCGCACTGGGGACAGTTTGCAAAATACACGACTACCCGCACACATTGACAAAGCATCAACAATGGCACAATTATTTTAACATTGAGTTGGTTTCGACTGCTACACAGACACCCGATAATTTTGCATGCAAATTCACGAGTGAGTACAAATTACAACACAGAAGAAAGTAGCACGTAAGTTAAATTTACGGTTCATCCATCTACAACACTGACATTTTAATTTATGATGCGACGGTCAGCTTCACAAAATGTCACAAGCAGTCTTAACACAACAATTTGGCTTTATTCAGAGTTGAGGCGCGAGCGTTTCAATGTATCGTAAAGTTTATTTTATTAGCGTCTGTTAGGTGACTGGTGATGATTCAAAGCCCGGAACACACCAAAACCCAAGGGCCCGCGCTTCCACTCTGAATGAGGCATGGAAGAAAATGGCACAATAAGCAGTCTTAAAACAACTTAAATGCAACGTCCGAGGGTACTCACAATAACGAACATAGCAGCGGGCGCAGCAACAAGCGACGCGACGTAACTACCCGCCAGCGCCGCCAGCGCCGCGCCCGCGTCGCTACACGCGCTTAAAGACAGCCATGCACAAGGTGCGCCTACGCACGACACCAGCGCTCTGAGGAAAAAGTACCAATGGGTAGTAAAGATACAGTATGAGCGCTTTCACATTTAGGCGATTTAGCAGTGCGACAAACACGCGACAAACGCGCTGCCGAAAATTTCATACTATGTGACAGCGGATGCATGCCTTCACATTATGGTGCGTCCAAATTGACCATGTCTTTCGCAGCTCTGTCTGTACGTGGATTAAAAGACAGAAGCCACTGACCCCTTAATCAGCCTGGAATCCACTCCAGCATCAGCTAAGACCCCCGCGACCAATTTATCGCGCTCACGGCGCCTCAGCAAGAACTTAAAGCAGTGCTAGCAGGTATGAGAGGTAATCTAAAGACAGTGCGTGGAATAACAGGAGCGACTGACCCCACAATCAGTCTCGAATCCACCCCAGCATCAGCTAAGACCCCTGCTCTAACCGCAGCAAGCGCCGGCGCCACTATATGCGCAAGGGCCGCGCTGATGGCGCCCCAACAGGCAATACACGCAGCATAGCAATAAGTATGAGAGGTATTCCATCTTTAGCGACTCTATACGAGGTATAAAAGTAGCCACTGACCCCATAATCAGTCTCGAATCCACCCCAGCATCAGCTAAGACCCCTGCTGTAACCGCAGCAAGCGCCGGCGCCACTATATGCGCGTGCGCAGCGCTCACGGCGCCCCAGCGGGCAGTAATTAAACACAGAAGAGCAGTAAGTATGTGAGGTACTCTGTCTTCAGAAGCTCTGTACTTACAAAGATGAGTCAAAGAAGAAGTCATAATCAGCCACTAGTTGCCAAAGATGATTCAGTTGCTTCTTGCGCTGCTTCTTCTCAACACTCGCCCATTTATTGTCCCGAAGCAATAGTAGGACTAAAGTGGGTATAATGAGACGTGTAGTAGCGCTTTTTAAAAGCCTAGAAGCAAATCACTCTACCAATTACCCCATAATCAGTCTCGAATCCACTCCAGCATCAGCTAAGACCCCTGCGGTCACCGCAGCAAGCGCCGGCGCCACTATATGCGCGTAGGCCGCGCTGATGGCGCCCCAGTGGGCAATACACGAACCATAGCAGTAAATGTGAGAAGTACTCTGTCTTTAGCGGCTAAGCGGAGATGTGTTTAGGTTCCCTGCTGCCTTCTACCCGCGTCTCGCACATCCAAAAGGATCATTTCAGCTGCTTTTGTGAAAACCATGCCTTTAGCGACTATCTACGTGAATGAAGCATAAAGTTAATATTCCTCTTTATGGAATAAAGAGAAGGAACAACAGCTGTGTTGATTAAGAGAAGACACTGACCCCATAATCAGCCTGGAATCCACTCCAGCATCAGCTAAAACCCCTGCGGTAACCGCAGCAAGCGCCGGCGCCACTATATGAGCATGGGCCGCGCTCACGGCGCCCCAGCGCGCTTAGAACTACAACGTAGCTGCAAGGATGAGGGGTACTGTGTCTTCAGAAGCTCTGTACTTACAAAGAAGAAGTCATAATCAGCCACTAGTTGCCAAAGATGATTCAGTTGCTTCTTGCGCTGCTTCTTCTCCACTCCACTGACCCCATAATCAGTCTCGAATCCACTCCAGCATCAGCTAAAACCCCTGCTGTAACCGCAGCGAGAATCGGCGCCACTATATGCGCGTGGGCCGCGCTGATGGCGCCCCAACAGGCAATACACGCAGCATAGCAGTAAATATGCGAGCTACTACATCTTTTAGTGGCTCTATACGAGGTATAAAAGTAGCCACTGACCCCATAATTAGTCTCGAATCCACCCCAGCATCAGCTAAGACCCCAGCTGTAACCGCAGCGAGCGCCGGCGCCACTATATGAGCATGGGCCGCGCTCACGGCGCCCCAGCGCGCTTAGAACTACAACGTAGCTGCAAGGATGAGGGGTACTGTGTCTTCAGAAGCTCTGTACTTACAAAGAAGAAGTCATAATCAGCCACTAGTTGCCAAAGATGATTCAGTTGCTTCTTGCGCTGCTTCTTCTCAACACTCGCCCATTTATTGTCCCGAAACAATAGTAGGTAGGACTAAAGCGGGTATACTGAGACGTGTAGTAGCGCTTTTTAAAAGCCTAGAAGCAAATCACTCTACCACTGACCCCATAATCAGTCTCGAATCCACTCCAGCATCAGCTAAGACCCCTGCTGTGACTGCAGCAAGCGCCGGCGCCACTATATGCGCATGGGCCGCGCTGATGGCGCCCCAACGCGCGGCCTGACGAGGCGCCGTCGCGCGGCGCCCCGCGCAGAAATACACGCAGCATAATGGCAGGTAGGAGAGGTATTCCGTCTTTAGCGGACCTGTATGAGAAATAGGAATATGTAGAAAGCTTATGCACGATCGTGCGGTAGCAGTCTTCAAAACGACCGCGCACGTGCGTGCTTGAACGTCTAAATAAATAAGATTTTTTTCAATATTTTGAGTAGGGTCAGGGAGGCAACAGTGACTCACTTTTTTTTCGAAGCTTAATAAAAATAGTATTAGAGGCCGGTAGATCTATTCTCATAAATAAAACACTGGATACTTAACTTTTACAGTATATTGCCTTATTTTAGATACAATTCATCACTTAGCACAAAAGCGCGCGGAGTCGTCTCCGCGCGTCCCTCTATTCTGACGTTTGATGCTCGTGTGACATTGACGTATTGTCAATGTCACTATGACAGCATCTCATTGGCTATAACGATACCGCTATTTTAACGTTTTATATTTTTCACAATTAACAATAGATATCGCTTTAATATTGGCCTAAAATTTGCTCACATTTTAGATACACTATTGAACTGTAACTGAGCACTCATGATTCTACATTATTTACTACTTANAAGCTACCCATCCTTATCGCTCGCGCGTAATCATATTTCTGTCGCGCTCGCACACTCACTGCGGCCGCCCGTCGCACATTCGCGGCAGCAATATAATTACGCTCGAGCGATAAGGATGGGTATCTTGGGGTCATTGGACGAAATTCTACGCGCTCGGCGACCGGACTTTACAGCTTCCTATAGGGCGGTCACAATGAGGACGGCCGCGAGTGCCGCTACTTCGACGACTTATATGCGTTCTGTCTGGACACAAGAGTATGGAGCCGCGTCAATGTGGCCGGCAGAGGACCGTGTGCGCGCTCGGCGTGTCTCATGCTGCCTGGCGCTGATAGTGTGAGTATGATACATTACTAAAGTCCGGTCGCCGAGCACGTAGAATTTCGTCCAATGACCCCAAGCTACCCATCCTTATCGCTGGCGCATAATCATATTTCTGTCGCGCTCGCACACTCACTGCGGCCGCCCGTCGCACATTCGCTGCAGCAATATAATGAGGGCTATCGTTTTCATACTTAACAGTTGGCACCCCTGGCGATTGACAGGACCTTACTCTACAGTGGCGCCATCTTGATGAGTGCAAATGCGATAGTCCTCCTACCACTTACGCGCTCACCAGTGGTGCCACTGTCTTCGCTACTAGCAAGTGACAGGACAGGACCTTACTCTACCTACAGTGGCGCTAACTGGTGAGCGCTAAAACGATAGCCCTCATTACGCTCGATAGCTTGGTCATTGGACGAAATTCTACGTGTTCGGTGACCGGACTTTACAGCTTACTATAGGGCGGTTACCATGACGACGGCGCGAGTACCGCTACTTCGACGATTTATATGCGTTCTGTCTGGACACGAGAGTATGGAGCCGCGTCAATGTGGCCGGGAGAGGACCGTGCGCACGCTCGGCGTGTCTCATGCTGCCTGGCGCTGATAGTGTGAGTATGATACATTTCTAAAGTCCGGTCGCCGAGCACGTAGAATTTCGTCCAATGACCCCAAGCTACCCATCCTTATCGTTCGCGCGTAATCATATTTCTGTCGCGCTCGCACACTCACTGCGGCCGCCCGTCGCACATTCGCTGCAGCAATATAATTACGCTCGAGCGATAAGGATGGGTTGCTTGGGGTCATTGGACGAAATTCTACGGGCTCGGCGACCGGACTTTACAGCTCACTATAGGGCGGTTACCATGACGACGGTGCGAGTGCCGCTACTTCGACGACTTATATGCGTTCTGTCTGGACACAAGAGTATGGAGCCGCGTCAATGTGGCCGGGAGAGGGCCGTGTGCGCGCTCGGCGTGTCTCATGCTGCCTGGCGCTGATAGTGTGAGTATGATACATTACTACAGCTCATAACATGTCGGAAGGTCTCACTATAGCACATACTAAGGCGGTTGATTTTGGTTACCATGACGACGGCCGCGAGTGCCGCTACTTCGAGGACCGTGCCTGGGGCTGATACGGGACCATTCCCATCTCTCGTTCCCACCACTGCAACTCCTGTGTAGCCAGGAACTACAGCTTGACCGCCATAAAAACCCAACCAATGAAGGTCAAGTTGGGGCTGATAGTGTGAGTATGGTACATTATTATAGCCTACAATAAGATGGTCACTATGTATTAAGGACTTATATTGCACATAATAAGGCGGTTACCATGACGACGGCCGCGAGTGCCGCTACTTCGACGATTTATATGCTTTCTGTCTGGACACGAGAGTATGGAGCCGCGTCTCTGTGGCCGGCAGAGCGCGTGTCTCATGCTGCCTGGCGCTGATAGTGTGAGTATAATACCATTACTAAAGTCCGGTCGCCGAGCACGTAGAATTTCGTCCAATGACGTATTTACAAGCTTTATTTATCCCATACGTTTGTCGTCTAAAATCATTGATAAGATTTTATCACGCATCCTAGCCCGGCTACACGTCCTTTCTGATGAGGGACAAGGAAACCTTTTTGGTTTCGAATTTCGATGTCCCACTGACAACTCATATAATCCCTCTGTCTACCAGTGGGAAGATTTTACCACTGGCAGGCATCGGAAATGGACGAAATATTTGTATATTAATTTTGTGATATTGACTGTGTTTTATAATGTATTTAGTTAAATTAGCCTAGCTAACAATCATCATCATCATCTCAGCCATAGGACGTCCACTGCTGAACATGCTTTCCATGTTGCCCGGTTGGTAGCGGCCTGCGTTCAGCGCCTTCGTCGTCGTCATGATGTCGTCGGTCCACCTTGTGGCACAGTGTGTAGCTAACAATACTCCTTTGTAATCCCCAGCTAATAATCTACGGCGGCTTCTCCCGAGTCAAAGAAGGTCGCACGGAGCGCACTCACACGCACACGGAGTTATTCCGATTGGCCCCCAAGAGTGGGGGCGGCGGCTACACGTGGCGCTCGCTGACGGGGGGGCCGCTGGCACCGCCGGCTAGAGCGGGACAAGCGGCTGCTGTTAACGCACATAGTGGGAGGGCTTATGTCTTTGGAGGAGTCAGTGTGAGTATCATGTTCTAGTTTTCATATTTTTTAGCTATAGACTACAAGGATGACTGTAGGGAAAAAACAAGTTTGATTTAGGACTGATTTTTCAATCGTCGAATCACTTTTAACTGAAGAATATGTATGTTTGGCACATTGACAATTTCAGTATGTGAATGTATTTGACAAGTTTATTCTTCAGTTAAAAGATATCCGACGATTGAAAAAACAACTCTTATTTAGTTAACTTAATGAAAATTGACAGAGATAAGCACACCAAAGCTGTGGAAATGGAAGCCAGTGTCGTCACTACGTAGTAAAAGTGTAGCACGATGTGACGCACATTATCAAATAAAAAAATTAATGTGAAGGAATTTTATTTGACAAAATGTAAACAATAGCCAAGCAGAACTAATACCCAGCTCTAAAGTTACAATTTAAAATGTTATAAATAAATAAATTAATTATGTTACTTTAGGACGTAGAAGAAACAGAAGAAGAGCTTCGCGGTGAAATGAGTGACGAGCTGCTCATGCTAGACCTTGAAAGCGGCAAGTGGCACAGCGTCACGCTACGGACCGAAAAGCAAGCCGCGCCCGCGTCAAGCTCGCAGGAACAAGGCGCGGAGACTGTTGAAGAGGCGAAAGAAATTGTCACTGGTAAGTAACTATACATTTATCATTTCAGCTAAAAGACGTCCCCTGCTAGATAAGTCTCCCCAAGGATTTACATAAAAAACGGTCATACGCTGCCCGCGATCGTCGGTCTACAGTCGGTTTTCCGTCCCTGGTCGCCACTCGAGAACTTTTTTGCCCCAATGGCTAACGGTCTACGACCTATAGTGGGTTGATAGCTAGACATTGCAAGCGGCAAGTGGCACAGCGTCACGCTACGGACCGAAAAGCAAGCCGCGTCAGCGTCAAGCTCGCAGGATCAAGGCGCAGAGACTGTGGAAGAGACGAAGGAAATTGTCACTGGTAGGTATAGTGCTACAACCAGGCCTGTTCATCTCCGCGAGTTTGCATCGAAAACAAAACACGCGCGACTACCCCGCCTGAAATACCTAATCGACAGGACAATCACGAGCGAGTATTGACTCACGACGTATTCTTCACTCATTTGCATTGTAAAGACAATAAACAATATATAAAAACGGTTTTTTGACTGCCTGAATAATATTAGAAACACAAAATATAATTCATGTTTATTCATGTATTTCCTCCGCCATTTTCCGCAGTTTGGCACCTCACGTCACACATCATTTTACCGAAGTCAGCGCTATGGCTTCGGCGCAGTACCGATCACTGACGTTTGTCAACAAAATGGTGCTCGACTCTTGAGACAAGCTAAATTACACCATATTGTTAACGACATTGAGCATACATTTTTTTAAATACCTTCGCGAAGAAAATCTTCTGTACGAAGTACTTATATTATTCTGTGCTACAACCTTCATGATCCCTCAAGGATTTCCACAATGATCGGTCCTGCGCTGCCCACACTACGAATAGTGAATACTACGAATTCGATCCGGTTTGAACCCCCTTGATCTTGAACCTTCTGCTTAAGGTGAAACCTTTTTTATAGATAGATGGATCAATAACTTTTTTGCTTTAAATATTTTTTCTTTTATTTACTAATTTCAATATAGTACATTTCCATTCCAGTGGTAACAGACGAGGTGTTCACGATGAAGTTAGGCGGTGCGCCCGCGCCGACCAACGCCGCTGATGACGTCACCGTCGCAGTCAAAACTAAGACGGGTCCTTCAGCACGAATGTCGGCCATGATGGCAGTTCAGAGATCCACCCTGTATCTGTATGGAGGCGTGCTAGAGAAGGACGACAAGCAGTTCTACCTTGGAGATATGTACAGCTTAGGTAAGTAACCTCATGACGTCATATTTCTGTCAAAAATTAGACCGAGCCCTTGGTTCAAATGTTGGCCATGACAGCTGCAAAGGTCCACTCTGTATGGAGGCATATTAGAAGGACGATAAGCAGTTTTACCTCAGCGATATGTACAACATAGGTGAGTGTGATGACGTCACCGTCGCAGTCAAAACAAAGACGGGTCCTTTAGCTCGAATGTCGGCTATGATGGCGGTACAGAGGTCCACTCTGTATTTGTATGGCGGCGTGCTAGAGAAGGACGACAAGCAGTTCTACCTCGGTGATATGTACAGCTTTGGTGAGTTACTTGATGACGTCATAAACACGGTGGTTGGGCGGTAGTCCCGCGTCGTATGTACCACGCCGCTGATGACGTCACCGTCGCAGTCAAAACAAAGACGGGTCCTTCAGCACGAATGTCGGCCATGATGGCAGTACAGAGGTCCACTCTGTATTTGTATGGCGGCGTGCTAGAGAAGGACGACAAGCAGTTCTACCTTGGAGATATGTACAGCTTAGGTAAGTAACTTGATGACGTCATCATTTTTGTTAAAATAAGACCAAATGCTCGGCGCAGTTTATCGGCCATGATGTCAGCAGAGGTCGTAGAACTGACGGCCGCTGGGGCAGGAAAGTTCTTGAGTGGCGAACACGAGCCAGAAGACGTAGCGTGGGCAGTCCTCCCACTAGGTGGACCGACGATCTGGTGAAGGTCGCGGGAGGCGCCTGGATGCGAGCGGCGCAGGACCGGTCTTTGTGGAAATCCTTGGGGGAGGCCTTTGTCCAGCAGTGGACGTCTTTCGGCTGAAACGAACGAACGATGGCAGCAGAGATCTACTTTGTATGGAGGCATATTAGAAGGACGATAAGCAGTTCTACCTCGGTGATATGTACAGCTTAGGTAAGTAACTTGATGACGTCACAGTTTCTGTTGAAATAGAATTTGGTCCGGTGGTTAGTACGAGACTATTCCCACCTCTCGTTCCCACCGCTGCAACTCCTGTGTAGCCTGGATCTACAGCTCGACCGCCATAAAAAACCCATCCAATGAAGGTCAGGTCCGGTGTTTAGTGTGTCCTTTATGATTGCAGCCGAGGTCTGCTCTGTTCTCTGTATCAGTATTGGTGTGTTATAAGTTATAAAGACGACCAGTAATTTGACCTTGGTGATATAAACAGCTTAGTTGGGTCACTTGATGACGTCAACTTTTAACACGTGTCAGAAAGGGACGCTCAAGAATAAATGTATGTAGGTAATAAATCACGATACACGGCTTAGCCGTCATTCTATTCACAGTGCGGATCGCCCGTCGCACTCGCACGTTCTAGCTTCACCCATGCAATGTGTTCTTACAAAAGAATAACAGCATCTACTGAGGGCTGAGTTTGAGTTTTTTTGTGAGCGCGTCAAAAAATGACATTAAATGTATGACGGATTGTAACAGCGCCCTTAGCGGGAAACTATCAAAAACTACAATTTTCATACATTTTTTAAACGCGCTAAGTGAGAAACTCACATTCAGCCCACTGGTTTCGTTCTTGATCCATCTGGAAATCATTGGGGAAATCCTTATGTTCTTGTGACTGAAATAATGATGATGAAACCGTTAATTCCACAGATCTGCACAAACTAAACGAATGGAAGACCATAATCGAGCAGCCTTCACTGCCCGACTGGCTCGGCTCCGATTCTGAAGAGTACGAGACCGATTCGGAAGAAGATTCTGAAGACAACGACGAAAGCGACGATGAGTGAGTGCAAATGTAGACTTTATGTTGTTTAAGAGTAAGTGCTATTTTATTTGTTACTGTTCAAGAAATATTCCGCTAAAAGCGGTAAGTTAGAAAACCACAGATTAAAATATCACATGGAGTACGGTTGAAGTTTCGCTAGAATATATCTGAAAATTATGATTTATTGTAGTCAAATTACTTGCGTTCAATTGGTTCTACATAATTTTCATTATGAACCTTACTGTGTTTAAGATATAGTGCTGTTTCACTTACAAACTTGTAATGTTAATTTCTGATACAAAATACTGAGGGTAGCTGTCCTTGTAATTGTCTATTTGTCTATCAAATGATGTATGAAATATGTGATACAGAAACGTCATGTTTAAGGTAAGTGTACATAGAATTTATATACTTATTACGTAAAGAATATAAAATCGAATTTATAATTATGTTTTATTTTATTACTTTCCTCTTTATTATTATAACTCAGGTTTTATTATATTGTATTAAAAGATAAATGAAACAACAAAATACATGTTATTTTTTTATTTATGTACACAAATTTATACCTACATAATATATCTTTATAAAAATTTAGTTAGTCTACCGAACGTTACACTCTATTGCTCTGAATAAATCAATTTTGCCTCAAAACGTTCCAAAACTTTAGATTTGCACAATTTATTTGGTAATTGTAATAATATACTAAAGATTATAAAACATTACATGAGCTTTTGAGTAGTATACAAATACATTATAAAAATCATTATACAGCAACATTAATGAAAAAGTATATTTTGATATCTACAAGCTGTTATAAGGGCATCACCACACAAATGATTACAGTAGAACTGCCAATAAACTTACGAAATCGAACTGTGAAACGTATAAAGCACTATTCACTTGAAAATCAACCATCTTTATTTACTTTTATACAGTTAAAAAATCCAAATATCCAAGGAAGAATGTATTAGGAAGTGGCAACACTGCACTAAAAATCAACAAAGCTCTTGTAAGTTTTCATTGGATAATTCTACAGTATTTGGAAGTATACATTGCATCAAGGCCATCGTCACAAGAACTGGGGAAAACATACGCCGTTATATCATGCGACACAGCACCTCTAACCCAACACATCTGACTGACTAGATTTTCCCCAAGAAACTTGTCACGTGATAGCTCAAACTTGTGAATTGCCATTGCAAAAAATATCGAATAAACAGTAACTAAGAAATGAGAAGTACATTAAGAACAGATTTTATTTTTAAGTTTTAAAACGGGTAATTTAAAAGCACAATAATAATAATTTCAGACCAGATTACTAAATAATATAGCAATAAAACTTCGTATACACTGTGGCACTATCTGAGACACGTTACCTCAAGTATCGTGCAACTTCGGGCGATAAGTTTGGAAACGTCCATATGTAAAAAAATACATGACATAAAATTGCCGTCAGACAACGCCTACAATGAATACCAGGCTTTACAAACTATCCTGCATTAAATAACGATATATTCGACGTTCATTATCTCATATTCAAACCGTACTGTGAAATCGTGGCAGTGATTCAACTATTTACCCTGTCAAACTACAAACCGTATAAAAACTACATTCCATAGTAACGTTTAATGCATTGGATATATAATCGGCTTATATAATCATAAATAACAACTTCGTCTATGCCCCATAATATTGGTAAAATATGTTCTAACATTCTCTTACGAGTAAACCATGTATCAAAAACAAAAAATATCGCAAATGAAGCTAAGTCTTCTTTTCTAAATTTGTTAAACAAGCTAAATAATATTTACAACGTCCAAATCCATTAATTTTTTTAATTTATTTTGAAACATCAAAATTCCATCAAATATATAAAAATAAAAGCACGATCCTACACACTGATCCAGTATACATAGTTATTTGACTATATACATTCAATGATACAGCTTTCAAATATTCTAATTCTTGTGCTCGATTTGAAACGAAGGACACAATAAATATTTTCAAGTTGCACATTCTGTGACACCAATCTCTAAATTGAACCCAACTATGATCATGATCAATATAGGGTATATTTCCTATCACCACATACTTAAATTACGTTCAAATGAAACGTGTCACAGAATGTACAATCGTGTATTGTTTATGTACGTATACATACATACCCTAAAGTAGATGGCACATCGCACTGATAAAATTGTTTGGTCCCCGTAGCTCGCACGATTATTATTGCAAGCATGTGAGTCATACATAAATTAAGTCAGCAACATCGTATTTCATACATAACTTCAATATACTTTTATATTACTTAGCTCGTGTCCCTTTAACAGAACGCATGTACGGAACTCGCCCCGCAAGTGTGAACATAACTTTAGAAATAGGGATGTCGCTGTCTTACTCTATGACTCGATTTATTCTACCTTTTGCCAAATTTGTTCTATAAATAGTGCTAAGGTATATCTTTAATATGACCATGATTTGATATAGGTACTCAGTGCATAATCTACGGGCCTAGAAAACTATTTAGTCCTGAATCCCACTGGAAAAATATCAAGTTATCTTATTGTGCGCGTATTTATGCATATTTGCATTATAACTTGATCTGACTATAACATCTATACGCAACTATACTAGCACTTAGTGACTGTACATATTTTCATTTCTTACAGATTTCACACTATTTCCGAATTATAGCCGAATACAAACATGACCACTCCATCCTAGTTTGACGAGACCGTAAACAAAGTGAAGTCCTACCAAGACCTTATAGCCTACAGGTTTTGTAATTTTCAAAGTACGATATGTAATCGCCAAAGAATCTGATTGGTCATTGATTGATTTCTCAAAAAATCTGCTGGCAACAAGATCTTGGTGCTAAATACTTCCATTGAGTGTTCCATTAGTTGATTTATAATGTGATTTTGCCATGAACTCTGATTGACTAGTCAAAACAAGAGTGCCTAAAACGTACTTGACTATAACACAAATAAACAAAAGATCCAATTCTGAGATTTTCACTAAACTCTCAATATTATAATCAACTTCTGTACGTTGTGTATTCGTTTACTTATAATTAAAAGTTTAGGCGTTAGAAAAAACCTCAAAATGGAGCCCAATTCTTTACACAACATATCTACTTCATGGCAAACCATTACGTACACTGGGTATAACAATATTCTGAATGAGTGACTACACAGCACCCGGCGTGTTAAACTAACTTTATGTCTCCAAGCTAACTGCAATACAATGATCACAAGATCTTTTCTTTAGTGCGTTAAGGACCGTTACGTGTAAAAAAAGATATGATGGTCGTGTTCCTATAGTGTGATTTAAAATTACGACTTAAAATCGTAGTCATACTACTTACGATGAGTTTCAAGATTTTTGTCAGTATTTAATTTTGATCAGTATTAAAGTTAGCCTGGAGCACATAGCTTAACCAATAATATAAAATAGAATAATGTTCTCTAAAACAATATTAAACTAGCAAAGTAAAGCTGAAGCCAAATTTGTTTTTATAAATAACAAGTGCTACCGAAGGGCGATTAGAACGAATTAAAGCAAATATGGCCGCCGGATTATTTAGATAAATACATAGAAAGCACCGATTTAATCAATTAAATAAGTTAATATAAAATACTCGATATCCGATCCGGCATTTAGTTTTGTTATAAATTATAATTGATCAAGAAATCGCCCAATCGTTAAACATAATAATAAACTAAAAGCATTATTATTACATAGTATTACATCAGTCGATTAAAAATTAGACGATAACCTAACTCGAAAAAATAGCTATAAATTTTTAAACAAACCATGTATTTGAAAGCAAATCAGTCTCTTAAGTTTAAGCGCTATGTCTAATTTTATGTACATTTATTTATTTATAAACATTCAATGCGATCTTAGGTGACATCACGACGATAACGTTTAGAGACAAGCTTTCAAAGAAATAAAAATATTTCTTGAAAATAAAATTAGTGTGACATCACTCGCAGACACCGTATAAAACGCACATACATCATACATACCCACGAAAGATTAACGTAAATTCACTATCTAATTTAATTATATTTTACAATTATTTACAAAAGGAAAAGATCATTAAAATTTAATAAATACGTAAATTTGGCTGATTGATAATTTTTCTTGTAACAACAACGTTGCCGATCACAAAAATAAGTCCAATGTTATTGTCGTCCACGTGTATGGTAAAATAACTTAATCACTTCACCGAAACATTAATTTGTTGATAGTTCGTCCAGTTCCGAAGTCACTCAACTATATCACAGTGGCGCGGCTTGTCCGGGCTCTGACTAGGCTAACTACAACGCTACGTCGTTTGTACGGAGATTTCGAGCCAAAAATCGTGTTTGAATATGTGGAGTAATCTTCCATTTTCTCTTTTGATTTCAATTTATATCTAGCTAGTGCAATAGACTAGTTCGATCATCTTTATGACTTCAATCATCAGATACCTTGACTATAAAAGTGTATCTTTCAATATTTGATGCGTCCAACATAAGAGAAATTACTCTTATTACATCGTCTTAGATACTAAATCGTCATTATCTACTGGAGCTAGTCTGACGTATTTCTTTTTTGCGATTAAAGGCCTTTTTCCAAACAGCTTTTATCGATCCTTTGCTATCAAACGTTTGATAAATGTTTAAATCCGATCACTCCACATAACTCCGTACACCGTAGTCCTTTAGAACAGATCCGTCACTATCGACCCGAACCACGCGCAAACAACCGGCAGAGCATACGTGAACAGCGCTTGCCTTAGCGACGGTCGGTCTGCGGAACCGGCCACGGGCTCGTCCCGTGCCGGCACCGGCGCCGGACCGGCGGCGTCCGGCGCCGGCGGCTCCTCGGCTCGACCGCGGATGTTGACGTTGCTGTTTGGAGGCGAATCGACCACGCCGGGCACGAAAGGCGCTTCTGGGACCGGCGCCGGGCTTTGTTCTGTTTCTGTGTCAGACGTGTCGTCGAATTCTGGTGGAATGTGACCGGAACCTGGAAGAGAAATTATTGGTTAGTATGGTTAAAGTTAACGCGTTCGTACGTAAGCGATAATGTAATATTTGCCGTACTCTTTGCGGGGTTTATGGCCTTTGCCAAACAATGAATTGAACCTATATTACTAGACGCGTTGATACTTTGATAGGTACTTTCTGGAGATGGCATTTAGTTCGTTGAATTTGAAGCATCACATTAAAGCATAGACCACTGAGGCTTTAAGCGATTCTTTGTGTCGCCACGCCCCCTTGACCACGGTACCGCCCCTAATGCCTTTTGCACGTAATCTCAATCTTACCACATCGGACTTAAGACTCATATTCCAACAGTAAACCACACACAACCATCGCTATCAGCTTACCTGGCTCAGGGTACTCGAAGTCGTCGTCGCCACCGTCGTCGTCGTCCTCGCGGTCGCCAGAGCCCGAACCCGAGCCGTCCAAGAAGTCCTGCCGCGGCTGTGATAGCTGTGGACTGTCTGTGGGCAGAAGAGACATTGACGGTGTTAGGATATTGAAAAAGCTTTTTCATTAAATATGTGTGTGTTAAAAAAAGTTGTGTGGTCCACACAGTCACACAGGGAGGAATAAGATCAACCCCACTCCGCCCGTGTTAATTGAGGGGCAAATATGCGAGCATCAGGCCTCTCTAACTTGGCAGGGCAAGCTATTTCTGGGACGTGTAATATGTGCATCTGAAAAAGGGCCCACATTGTAAGTAATAAAGTAGAGCAAATTAAGTAAAAACGGCGGGACAAATGGTGGTGACTAAATGTCCGGATGATGATGAGTACTCACCAGTATCCCTCCACTGCACCTCCACCCAATTATAATCGTCTTTCATATGCGCAGTCAGCGCTCGCAAGCGTTCAGTCTATTTACTATTATAGGCTATGATGATATGTCTACTCACCAGTATCCCTCCACTGCACCTCGACGCCATTGTACACGTCTTTCATGCATATGACTGCGCATGCAGTCAGCGCTCGCAAGCGCCTGCTATTGGCACTAAGCAGACTGCTATAGGATGACGCAGTTGTTACCACTCACCAGTATCCCTCCACTGCACCTCCACGCCATTGCCTCGGTCGCCGGCCGCCAGCTAGGCTAATGATATTGACAATGACGATGATATCGATGTGTGTCTTACCAGTATCTTTCCATTGCACCTCGACGCCATTGTATGCATCTTTCATATGCGCAGTCAGCGCTCGGTATGCGTACGCGCGCCAGCCGCCAGCACCGCGAGGATTACTAATGATGATGATGTGTACTTTATGTACTCACCAGTATCCCTCCACTGCACCTCCACGCCATTGTACGCATCTTTCATATGCGCGGTGAGCGCTCGCAAGCGCTCGGTCTCGCGCCGCCGGCCGCCAGCGCCGCGAGGATTACTAATGATGATGATGTGTACGTTATGTACTCACCAGTATCCCTCCACTGCACCTCCACGCCAATGTACGCGTCCTTCATATGCGTGGTCAGCGCTCGCAAGCGCTCGGCTCCGCCGGCCGCCAGCGCCATGTGGGCTAAGATGTTATCTACTCATCAGTATTATGCACTCACCAGTATCCCTCCACTGCACCTCCACCCCATTGTAAGCATCTTTCATATGCGCGGTCAGCGCTCGCAAGCGCTCGGTCATCAGTATTATGTACTCACCAGTATCCCTCCACTGCACCTCCACCCCATTGTAAGCGTCTTTCATATGCGCGGTCAGCGCTCGCAAGCGCTCGGTCATCAGTATTATGTACTCACCAGTATCCCTCCACTGCACCTCCACGCCATTGTAAGCGTCTTTCATATGCGCGGTCAGCGCTCGCAAGCGCTCGGTCATCAGTATTATGTACTCACCAGTATCCCTCCACTGCACCTCCACGCCATTGTAAGCGTCTTTCATATGCGCGGTCAGCGCTCGCAAGCGCTCGGTCATCAGTATTATGTACTCACCAGTATCCCTCCACTGCACCTCCACGCCATTGTAAGCGTCTTTCATATGCGCGGTCAGCGCTCGCAAGCGCTCGGTCATCAGTATTATGTACTCACCAGTATCCCTCCACTGCACCTCCACGCCATTGTAAGCGTCTTTCATATGCGCGGTCAGCGCTCGCAAGCGCTCGGTCATCAGTATTATGTACTCACCAGTATCCCTCCACTGCACCTCCACCCCATTGTAAGCGTCTTTCATATGCGCGGTCAGCGCTCGCAAGCGCTCAGTCTGAGCACGCGCCGCCGGCCGCCAGCGCCGCGTGGGTTACTATAGGATAATGATGATGATAACAATATCTCTACTCACCAGTATCTCTCCACCCCATTGTACGCATCCTTGCGCCGCGTGGGCTACTATAGGCTAATGACAATTATAACGATGATGACGATGTGTACTCACCAGTATACCTCCACCCCATTGTACGCGTCCTTCATGTGCGCGGTCAGCGCTCGCAAGCGCTCGGTCTGAGCGCGCGCCGCCGGCCGCCAGCGCCGCGTGGTCTACTATTAAAGGCTAATGATGTGTTGATGTGTGTCTTCTTACCAGTATCCCTCCACTGCACCTCCACCCCATTGTAAGCATCTTTCATATGCGCGGTCAGCGCTCGCAAGCGCTCGGTCTGAGCGCGCGCCGCGGCCCCGCCGGCCGCCAGCGCCGCGCCGCGTACCTCCGGGTTGGACGCTAGTGCCGCTGTGCCTTCTCCTGCTGGTGCTACGCTGTAGCTGTGGAAACAGACGATTCAGAATATTAATTGAGCAGTTGACAATATTACTATTGGGACTATGTAAATAGTCCTGCCCTCCTAGACAAAATGCACTTTTTGATCAAGTCGAAAATCAAATCCGTCAACGTCATACAAAAAAAGGCGTTTCGACAACTTTTCGACTGGATTGCGATTGTAATGTGCACTTTGTCTAGGTAGAGGGAAAGAGGTGGGATTAGTTCCGTGGTCTACACATTTACGTTACGTTGGTAACAACTAACAATCCCGCGAAACCATGACAATGACACGATCAGTACACATCTCTGCATTGCTTTTCGTTTCAAATGTAGGTAAAATTTGAAGGATGTGTAGGATTTTTGGATGTTAATTAATTCTACTACCTCATTTATACCGCGTGGGAAAGTTGGAAAACTTGACTTTGTGATGCTAACGCTGGTGCATAACAAAGCGGGCAGCGGGCAGGGATACTTAACGCTAAAAAAGATGGGTATAGATAGCCCCTTACCTGCCAACAGCGCTCCCATTGAAGCAAGGTGCAGACGTGATGCTGACACTAGTACATAACAAAGCCGGCAGCTGGCTCCAGTAGCGCCGCCACGTGCGAAGGCGCGCGCGCGTCTCTCGCACTAATCGCTCCAACGCCACGCCTCCCCATTCTGAACCTGGAATGACACGTGACATTGACAGTTATATGATTATGATGACCGTAGGATTTTTTTTGAATGATGTTGAACCTTACAAAAATGTTAAGCAGCGAAAATTAGGACGAATGTAAAAAGATCAGTTTCAAGCAGTGCGAGGTCACGTTATTTTAACGAATACTATTACCTACCCTAGTTCAAATAACGTAATATGTTATAGGATCAACACGAATCTGTTCATTTATTAGCTCATTGACTAAACAAAATCTCAAAGCCTATGTCTACTTGCCCTGTGGACTCAGACAGTTGATAAGCAGAAACTCTCATCTAAGAACGGATCTTGGGACAGATATTAGTTAATGTGGAAACTCACCGTGAACATCATCGGTCTTAGCAGACGTCTTCTTCTTCTTGGAGCCCCTCTTGCCATCGAACTCAAACGTCCTGAAGTCAATTTCCGAGCCGGCCGGCGCCGGCGCCGCCTCCGGGCCCGGTTCGGCCTCCCGGCGAGTACGGTCGTGCTCCTCATACTCCTCGTACTGCTCCAAGTCAATATGCCCGCGCATGTATTGCAGAAAACGTTCCCTCAACTTGGCTTGCTCGGCCATCTCTTCCGTGGCTTTCTTGATCGCAGCGGACGACTTCAACCCAAGAAGGGACGGGTCATCGTTCAACACGCTCTCAAACGAAGCCTCCACCTCAAAATCATCCACGTCATTCGCCTTCGGATTCCAATCGAAGTCCGGTATCGATCGGACCGACCGGCGGGCCCGGTCTGGCGCGAAGAAAGGACCGGCAGCGCCGCCTCCGCCGCCGAGAACCGGTTTGCCGCAGCCTGCGAAGATCTTCTGTGAGATCTCCTGGTTGTGCTCCTGGAAACTCATGATGGCCTCCGAGATCTTGATGTCGATGGGTTCGACTACCATGGCGATGTTGAACGGGCCGAGGAGCCGGTCAGCTACCTTGTCGACGGCCTCTGCAATGACAGATATAGAGCATTAGGTAAGCAGGCAAAAAATATTCAAAATGAGCATGTTATTGTTGTTGACCCAACTAAGTAAAAGAGGTTTTGGAAAGGCTTGTAGAATGTTTCATGATAGGTCAAAAACAACTCGTCAACTAAGTATTGTTAGCTACTCGTATTCAACAGTCTGTTTATTCAGTTCAAGATTCCTATAAAGCTTTGACAGAATCCTCATTGTGTTTCATCCGCTCCTCGTGATGGCATTCTTCATCATCATCATTTCAGCCATAGGATGTCCACTGCCCAATGATTTCGGTAGCTGGCAGCATCCAGCGCCTATCAGCGAATTTAGCATTGTAACAGAAGGATCTGAGGCTGCACTCGTGACAGAAAAAAGTTTGTAAAAACAAAAGCTAAGAACCACTCACCGACATACGCATCCCACTGCTCGCCCAAATCGGCGTGTGCAGGCAGACAGCCGCGGATGACGTTGTGACAGTAGCGGCTGCAGGCTGGCGTCTCGTCGCCCGAGCAGCCGCCGCAGAAGCGCAGCCGAGCCCATGCTGTAACACACTCTGATGTCACGCCCACCTGGAAAGCAAGTTAAGGATATACGTTTTAGAACACGGCTGTATCATCATCATCAGGTCATTGTCTTCACTGCGGGATCACGTCACGCGCGACACTTTAATATACTAGAGCCAATTGGAAAATTTGGCCTACACTCCCCGCATTGCCCAGATGGGTTGGGGAAGCAGCATACAGTATAATTTTCAGTATACGGTAGTACAGGCATGACCACGCGCCGTTACAGACTTTGATGTCATGCCCACTTGTAAAATGAGGTAGGGTGTAAGTTTGAGTACACCGTGCCCAGGCTCTCACGCACTTAAGGCCGATGGGGATGGCCTCGGTTACGTGGGGCTCTTCTAGCCAGAAATACAGGGCCTCCACGAAAATATGTCCAGTCGTCCTCAAATACTTCGTGACACCTAAAATGACATCGTCCTAATCTGTCTACATGCATCGTGACACCTAAAAAGGCATCGTCTCAGGCTAAGACTTGTTTTGGAGTGAGCATCTTTGTTTTCGAGGGAAATGGTGGATCCCCTCGGGTCGTCCGCTAATAGCGCATGAACAACCCTATCCTATCCAATCCAAGGTAGATAAGTTAGTCTATAAGTTTCAGTACACCGTACTTGTGAACTGAATGTGGCAATAGTCCTGTACACTGTGCCCAGAGGTTTCCATCCTAACATGGAAAGTATGATGATCGATTTTCATTCAATGAAACCATTGATCGATTCCTTATTAAACTGACACGTATTCTGATGTCACGTCGACCTACAAGGTGTGTGATCATACCACGTATTTTTTCAGACGCCGGCGCCTCTGGCGAAGCTTTTTTTATGTGATACGAGTCAAACGAGCAGACGGATCACCTGATGGTAAGTGATTACCACACCCGCAGTCTCAGGGGCGTTACTGGTGCGCTGCCGACCTTTAAGGTGAAGATACGCTCTCTTCTTAAAAGCTTGCAGGTCGTATCCGTCCGGAAACACCGCAGACGACGACAGCTCTATTGCGGTATGTCACAAAATGTTTACAACTCGCTTTATCCCAACTAATATTATAAATGCGAAAGTAACTCTGTCTGTCTGTCTGTTACGCTTTCCCGCTTAAACCTCGCAACCGATTTTGATGAAATTTGGCATAGAGATAGTTTGAGTCCCGGGAAAGAACATAGGATAGTTTTTATCCCGGTTTTTGAAACAGGGACGCGCGCGATAAAGTTGTTTCTGTGACAGACAAAATTCCACGCGGGCGAAGCCGCGGGCGGAAAGCTAGTTTATCATGAAAAGCAAAATTATCATAGGTTGATTGTTTCTTGACCCTTCTTGATTATTGTTCACCCAACCTTGATTGTTTCTCTCCATCTGAGTACAATAATCTTTACTCTTATAAAATTTATTTATTCGGCCACTCGTCAATAAATCTGTAACCGGTTTCGGCGGCTTTGTACAACAATTTGTGTAATTAAATCGAAAACTACGTACATTTAAACGTCTCGATTTTATATGCATGAGGTGATAAATCAGAATGAATCAGTGGAGCCGTGACATCAGCGCTGGACAGAAACGGAGTCGTATTGCAATTTATAGACCTTATGGCGTGGACTTAAGAATTGAAGACGAGGATGTATTTGAAGAATAATAAAATAAATATTAAAAGTTATTCCAGACGCCATGCGTAAGTGCAGTCCCCAATAACAGAACTCTTAAGGACGTCATTATTAAATTATGGGCATGTTTTTGCATACTTATTTTAAGGGGCAAACTTGGACACATTGTAACGACTCGAATATTAGTATAGGTTGACTATTTAATTTATTAGTTAGGGGATGATACGACACCTACCGAGTGAAAGTGTCTTAATAAGTAAGTGGTGGGGGAAAAGGCGAACTTTGGGGCGAAGTAAATATTCACATCTGAAAATTATTGAGGACAAATATACGGTTTTATAAATACAATAATGCCGCCCGCACTTTTGGGCCAAGTAAATTATTATTTTTATGCGTAGGTGGAATTAATGTAGGCAATTAAGCCTGGAAGTGGTATATTCTCACGCAAAAAAATACGTATCAAATGTGGGTTTATGGGTAATGCCCTTGGTGTTGCCTATATTTCCTGAAGGCTAAATTATTTCTTAATTATAATATTTTGTTAGTTCCACAAAGCAGGCCAGCATGTATGGTAAATTTTAGAAGCTTTTATGGCCTTTAATTTGTGACTGAAATTACTAAATTATTGTTACTTCAGGAATATATCACCAACCAACACTGTTTTATTCGTCTATCGACCGCAGTGGAAGGTGTCCCTGGTTCGATTCCAAATACGGTAAATTTATAAAACGAGCTTTTTACTTGATTGGGTTTTAATTAGCTAGTCAAATACTTTGTTAGGTTACATCCATATAAGATAACTATAATTTATGTGTGTTTTTATACATGTAAAAATCGTCCTCCGTCCTGCGTTCTTTGCCCTTAATAGCTCTCGCGCGTCGTCAGGCAACCTGAGACGGTGGTTAGCCATCGCAGGCACTTGCCTAGACGAGTCGCCGACGGCGACCGAGATGTGACTAGTGAGGGCATCGATCGCGTGAATAGTTTCGTGAGGCGAAACTATATCGTCGGGGATTGAAGACAGTTGTGGGCTCTGACAGTTCCCAAGTTTTACCTTGAGTTTGTCCCAGTCCACAACTGTCTTCATAGTGGGTGTAGACTCAGGAGAGCCTAGTTGTAGTACGACTGGGCGATGGTCAGAAGTGAGCGCGTGCATGGTTTCTATAGAGTGTAGGCGGAGGCCTATATTCTTTAGAATTGCCATGTCAAGAATGTCGGGCCGATGCTTTTTGATTTTGATTTTGATTTCAGAGAGTTCGCTTAACATGTTGCCATTGGCAGTGGATGTTACGCAATGAGTGTGTTTGCTATTAAAGTCGCCGCCAAGAATGACTGCACTATTCATAGCAAAGAGGGCCTGAAAGTCGCTCCTTAAGGGAGTCTTGTTCGGGGAGAGGTAAACCGAGCCGATGAGGATGGGCTCGTGTCCAGTCATGGCTAGCCGACAGAGTGAGACTTCTAGGTTAGAGAGAGAAGGGGGATCAACTAAAGCACAGTGCAGAGAACGCTTATAATAAATAAGCGTGCCGCCGCCACGTGTGGGCCTATCGTGTCTGATGATATTGTAGTTCGCTATCCTAGGATTGCGAATAGAGGGTGTTAGGAGGGTCTCTTGAACTAGAAAGATGTCGACCTGGACACTTGACCTTCACTGATTGGGTTTTTATAGCTACACAGGAGTTGCAGCGGTGGGAACTAAAAGTGGGAATAGTCCCGTTTTGTTCTAGCCTAGGCTCGTCGCATCTAACTTCTGGCAATGACTTTACAAGTGGTCACTCCACCTATCGTATGCACATAATATACATACATATAGGTTTTTATTGCAATAAAAATCATAATTTATGTACGGAACCCTACAAGGAACTATTTTTACGGTAAAATCCATCAATTGGTCTATTGGTGAACTGTGACCTTAAGAAATATCCAATTTATTACAGGTAAAAGCTTCTTTATTTGAAAGAAATTCCTAAAAGTGTCCAAGACATGTCATTCTAACCAATTATACCCAAAAATGATTAAAAGTTAAAGTTCAAAGAAATATTTCATTCAGACGTCGAAAGTTTTAATAGTTTTTCCTGTAGGAGAATTTACAAGAGTCGATTTTAACTATTTTGAAGCATTTATACAAATATTATATTCTTCTTTTCTGAAGTTCTTTTTAAAATAATCATAATTATTATTATTATTTATTACTCACATCAAATTATTTTTAAACATAATAATGTTTAAAAATAATTTAATGTGAGTAATTTACCTGTGTCGAGACTAATCCATACTAGTAGGAGCTCAACTAATATAGTTAAATGTTTGACTTAACTTAGCTTGCCTTTGCCTAGTCTCTAGTTAGCTTTACCCCACTGAAAAACAAACAAATACCTTTAAATAATTCTCAAAGCTATTCATAGCTCAACTTTAGATATCTACATCGAACTAATTAACACCTAAAATATTTTAAAAAAGCCACCCACAAACACCAAAGCCATATTTCATTGTTTTATTCTGTTTTGTAGTGTTGCAAGTCTCTATTAATTGTTCTCCCACTATAATAAAACATTGTTTATCGTCAAAAAAACGTATCATGTAAATCCCATGTCATGACATCGCGACAGTACAGTCGACAACAATATTCTTAGTTGCAAAATAGCAAATAGCGTCTATTCTACTACGTAAGATACGACAGTGTCACATACGTACAGTCAGCATCAAATAGATCGTGACACCCAAAGTAGCCAAAAAAATCGCAACACGTCTTTGTTACAATTGGAATAAGGTTGTGTTGTCAATTTTTTGCCCGCTTTAGGTGTCACGAGCTATATGACGTTGACTGTACATAGTGTACATACATCTCCTTGGCGGTCGTCCAAACCTTTGATGTGCCGACTATTCATAATCGCCGGAGTAGAGTGGCGTAAGTACACTTACGACACTCTAGTTTGTAACTGTGATTCTGTTTGGCCATCCTCTGAGATTGGATGATACGGTATTCTACTTATAAACGCCTGATTTGGCATAATCTTTTTTTTTTTGTTAAAAAAATAGGCCATTAGAAGATTTAGAAGCAAACTTTAATACAAACTCCTTTTACAGATCAAAAATATATTTCATGGTTTTTTTCACTCGTAATTATTAAATTAGTTAAGTAACAGTTACAGTTAAGGCTGGGTTGCACCATCTCACCTTAACTTTAACTAACGTCAAAAGTTAAACTCCATACAAAAAACGCCGGTTACAGTTATAGTCACGGTTAAAATAAAGTGGTGATACTCAGTCTTAGAAGTTCATTTGTGTAAAGATTGTTCTTTGGTCTCGTTGTTTTAAAATACTGACCAAAATTCCACACAATTATGTTTTCGGCATAATACTTTACTTTTTTAATTTACTTTAGGTTTTTTTTGTAACGATATGAACAATAT